CTTGGCGCTCTTGTATCGCTCTCTGGGAGAAAGCCAGCGCCATCCCATGAGGACATTTAGAGCAGCTGTCTGAAGAGCCCCTGATGCCTTTTGCTAAAAGCCAGTGCCAGCTTACCAACCATGTGAATGAGCTACCTTCATAGCACACCTGGTAGGCCCATTAGACCTTCAGATGATTACCGCTTTGATGGATTACAATTTCATTAGAGAGTCCAAGCAAAGCCACCAAGCCAAGTCACTCTCCCAATTCCACCTGCATAGAAACTGTGTGACAAGTATATGTGTATTGTTTTAAGGTACAGAGTTTGGGGGTATTTTGTCATACAGCAATAGATGACAAATACATAGATTTTCCTATGTATTTGTCCTATTTCCTATATAATAGGAACTACCATTTCTTTTTTTTTTTTTTAAGATATTATTTATTTCAATCTCAAGTAGGTGGAGAGGCAGGCAGAGAGAGAGAGAGGAGGAAGCAGGCTCCCTACTGAGCAGAGAGCCCGATGCAGGGCTCGATCCCAGGACCCTGAGATCATGACCTGAGCTGAAGGCAGAGGTTTAACCCACTGAGCCATTCAGGTGCCCCGGAACTCCCATTTCTTATATAATAAAATTTTAAACTCCTTAGTTATGGCATTTAGGAGTACAGTTTGCCCTTTTTTACTTAGTCTCTTGCCTCCCGTGAACTTGCTCAGATTGCTTCAGAATACTTTGTCTCTGATGACTTCAGTTTCACAACTCCCATTTGGTGCTTTTTATTTCTCTAAGAATTCCTAAACTTCAGGTGTTTATCTTCTGTATTATATTATTAATTCCAACTAGATAATCTCTACTAAAATGTTAATAGATAACCAAGAAATAAGGCTTTAACATCTCAAAGGAATGTTTGTAGTTGAATAGTAAGTAGGCTCTCACTGACTAGTAACTGCATACCAAACCAGGATACAAAGCTGTAGCAGAATGGCAGGAGAGTTTTGGTATTTCAACCAGAGTAGTTAGTACTATACCGATCTACATAGTCTTGGGACTTTTTTCACCAGTGAAGCCATCTAACATTGGAGATTTTTTTTCTGGGAAGGTTTTAAATTTCAGATTCAGTTCCTTTTCATAGAAATAGAATTATCCAGATAGTGTATTTTGTGTGACAGCCCTCTTCAATGTATTATTATTTTTATCAGGATAAATAATATAATATGTCCTCTTTTTAATTCCTGATATTGGCAGTTTGTGCCTGCTTTCTTTCTCCTTGATTTATTCTTAAAGAGACATGTCCATTCTATTAGTCTTTTCAACAGTCAACGTTTGGCATTGTTTGGTTTTTCTCTTTTGTATGTTTTTCAAGTTCATTGAAGTCTGTTTGAACTTTTCCCCCCTTTGATTCTACCTTTTTATCTACCTTTTTATTTAATTTGGTATTTTTCTAACTGCTTGCAATGGAAATGTAGATCACTGGTTTTTCATTCTTTCCTCTTTTGTAGCTTATACATTTAAGGCTGTAAATTTACTATAAGTACAAATTTAACTGCATCCCCCAACTATTGATAGTTAATATTTTCATTATCATTTAGTCCAGAATATTTTCTAAATTCCATTATAATTCTTCGAGCATTTGACTTTCACTAAATATATAAGGAAGAAAGATAAAAGCAGCATTATTATAAACTTCCATATAGTAAGGAAAAAGGGATCACTTATCAATTTGTTTGAAGCCAGTACAACCTCATTTCTAAAATGGACAAGGTTGGGGACACTTGGGTGGCTCAGGTGATTAAGCGTCCAGCTCTTGGTTTTGGCTCAGGGTCATGATCTCAGGGTCATGGGATTGAACCCCATGTTGGGCTCCATGCTTAGAGCAGAAAATGCTTGAGATACTCTCCCTTTCCTTCTGCCCTTCCCCCTTTTCATACAGTCTCTTTAAAATAAGGAAAAACAATAAAATGGACAGAGTTGTCTTTAGAAATCTCTATTATTGGTCAGTTTCTTTTGTGAATTAAAGTAATTGAAATTATAATTTCAATTTAATTGAAATTAAAAATTGAAGTAATATAATAGCATCTCAAACCTAGCAATGTACAAGTGTTATGACCTAGCTGGTGTTATTTTAAAATGGAAACTTGGGCTAGAATTAGATTTTAGGAATGGAAACTTGGATTAAAATTAGAAACCAGGGGCACCTGGGTGGCTCAGTGGGTTAAAGCCTCTGCCTTCGGCTCAGGTCATGATCCCAGGGTCCTGGGATCGAGCCCCACATCGGGCTCTCTGCTCAGCAGGGAACCTGCTTCCTCCTCTCTCTCTCTGCCTGCCTCTCTGCCTACCTGTGATCTCTATCTGTCAAATAAATAAATAAAATCTTTAAAAAAAAGGAAAAATTAGAAGACCAGTCAGTGAGATTTATTTTACTTACAGAATTAGGAGGAAAATATGATCACCTCAGCATGCACAGAAAAAAAATGATAAAATTCAATACATATGATAAAGTCATCTTCTGTATGATTTATTTCACCTAGCATAATACCCTGAAGGTTCATCCATGTTGCCATGAATAGCAAGATTTCATTTTTTTTTATGGTAGATTAATATTCTGGTGTGTGAGTATGAGTGTGTGTTTGTGTGTATCGCCTTTATTCTCTTCTCTATGGGTGGACATTTAGGTTGCTTTTGTATCTTGGCTATTGTAAATAATGCTGCAATAAACGTAGGGGTGCATGTATCTTTTCTAATTAGTTTTTTTATTTTCTTCAGGTAAACACCCAGAAGTAGAATTATTGGGGCATGTGGTGCTTCTATTTTTAATTTCTTGAGATACCTCAGTGCTGTTTTCCACAGTGGCTACACACATTTACATTCCCACCAACAGTGCAGGAGGGGTCCCTTTTTCTTCACATCTTCTCTAATACTTGTTATTTCTTGTATTTTTGATACTAGCCATTCTGACAGGTATGAGGTGATATTGCATTGTTGTTTGCATTTGTATTTTCCTGATGATTAGTGATTAGTTGAGCATCTCTTTATGTGTCTTGGCCATCTTTATATCTTCTTTGGAAAAATGTCTGTTCGAGTCCTCTGCCCATTTTTAAAAATTAGGTTATTCGGGGTTTTTTGTTGTTGAGTCTTACAGGTTCTTTATATATTTTGGATATTAACCCCTTACCAGATATATCATTTGCAAATATCTTCTATTCAGTAGGTTGCCTTTTTTGGTTTATTGATGATTTTCTTTGCTGTGCAAAAGCTTTTTAGCTTGATGTAGTCCCAGGAGTTTGTGTTTGTTTTTTTTAAAGATTTTATTTATTTATTTGACAGACAGAGATCACAAGCAGGTAGAGAGGCAGGCAGACAGAGAGGAGGAAGCAAGCTCCCTGCTAAGCAGAGAGCCCAATGTGGGGCTTGATTCCAGGACCCTGGGATCATGACCTGAGCTGAAGGCAGAGGCCTTAACTCACTGAGCCACCCAGGCGCCCCCAGGAGTTTATTTTTGTTTTTGTTTCCGTTGCTTGTGGAGACAGATCCAGAAAAATACTGCTTAAGGTCAGTGTCTAAAAGATTACTGCCAGTGTTTTCCTTTAGGAGTCTTATGGTTTCAGGTATTACATTTAGGTCTTTAATCCATTTTATATTTGTGTGTGGTCCAGTTTTATTCTTTTGCATGTAGCTGTCCAGTTTTCCCAGCACCACTTATTTAAGAAACTGTCATTTCCCCATTGTATATTCTTTCCTCTTTGGTGGATTGATTGACCATATAGGCATGGGTTTATTTCTGAGCTATATGTTTTGTGCTAGTACCCTCGTGGTGTTTTTTTTTTTCTAATTCTCTTTTCTTTTTATTAAAGTGTAACTGACACAGAATGTTACATTAGTTTCATATGTACAGCATGGTGATTCCACAACTGTATGCATTATGCTGTGCTCACCACAAGTGTAGCTACCATCTCTCACCATAAAATATCATTACAATATCACTGACAATATTTCTTTCATCCCCATGACTTATTCATTCCATAAGTGGAAGCCTGTGCTTACAACTCCCCTTCACTCATTTCCCCATCCCCTATTAACCCTGTAGTTTTGATTATTACAGCTCTATGGTATGCCATGAAATCTGGGATTATGATACCTTCAGCTTTGTTCTTCTTTCTCAAAATTGCTTTGACAATTCAGGGTCTTTTGTGAGTCCATAGAAATTCTAGGATTCTTCGTTGTAGTTCTGTGAAAAAATACTTTTTTTTTTTTTTATGGGAATTGCATTGAATCTGTAGACTGCTTTGGGCAGTATGAATATTTTAACAGTATTCTTCCAAATAATGAGCATGGGTTTTTTGTTTTAGAGTGATTCTAAAATGTACATTTGATAATTTTTGTAATTACAAACAATAAGAGAGGTTATTTTATAATTACAACTTTTAATCAGAAGTACAGCTACAGGGCGCCTGGGTGGCTCAGTGGGTTAAAGCCTCTGCCTTCGGCTCAGGTCATGATCCCAGGGTCTTGGGATCAAGCCCCGCATCGGGCTCTCTGCTCAGCAGGAAGCCTGCTTCTCTTCCTCTCTCTCTCTCTGCCTACTTGTGATCTCTGTCAAATAAATAAATAAAATCTTAAAAAAAAAAAAAAAAAAAGAAGTACAGCTACATAAAAATGCTTAAACATGGTTTTCTTTTGTGAAATCCAAAACCTACTAAAGTGTGAAATGAGAGCAGTTTGAAAGAGCCTAAATCAAGGCAGCTTTGATAATAAAATATAAAAGAAACATAATTGATGATATTGCAGAATATCAAACGAATTTGGTTGTATGTATGAGACTAAGAATTTTTTTAATCTGGGTTAAATTTTACCTAAAATGATTAGAGTCTTAAATGAAGATTTACACAAATTGATTGCGAATCCTCTGATAGTAACTAATTAATAGTTTGTGTTGTAATGGACATGAGTTTTTTAAAATATATGTCTTCTAATTTGTAAATATCAGGAGTTGAGTATTTTTTTCTTTTAATGTACTTTTACAGATGGTAGTAAAAACTTTTATGGATATGGATCAGGACTCAGAAGATGAAAAACAGCAGTATCTCCCACTAGCCTTGCATCTTGCATCTGAATTTTTCCTCAGGAATCCCAATAAAGATGTGCGTCTCCTTGTAGCATGTTGTTTGGCCGACATTTTTCGAATCTATGCCCCAGAAGCTCCATATACTTCCCATGATAAACTTAAGGTAAATAAAATCTTTACAGAATTAGTTTACTTTTATACTTTATACTCTAGCTTACCTTTAAGAACTAGCTTTTATTATTATTCACCTGTCATCATCACAAGATTATATCGTAAGTTGTAAAACAGATGAATTATTCAGTTGAAATTCATTGCATAGCCACAAAAATGACTGGTATTTTTATTGAGGCATTGAAAGATGTAGATCTGAACTAGCCCCTGTGCTCTATGTAACCTTCATGATAACCCATCACAAAGCTCAGGTGGTTGAATTGAAGGGATAAATAGAGGGTTAGTGATACTTTATAAAACAATAATGTAACAGAATTTATGTATTCAGATGATTATTTCACCCTGCACAGTACATGCAAAATTATATTGTGCTTATCTCAGAGGTTTCTGCCTTTGTTTAAAATGTTTGAGGAACTCTTTTAAATTGATCTCTTTGAGCTAACTTCATATTCTTAATAATTTTTATTCCCAGCAAATTTTAGTATTTTGAACTGCCTTTTTTTCCATTGTCCTAAAGTCATTTTTTTGCATGTTGATTCTATTTTGGGTTAAAACTTCTTAAAAAAAAAAAAACAACTTCTAAAGAAAGCTTATTAAGAAATGGCATACTATTGTTATGAAAAGCACAACCCTTGAACCAGTCTATTATTGTTTTTGTTCCACACAAGTTTGTGGTCACACATCAAATTCAAACTACTGAAAATTACTATTTTCATGTAGGAAATAGTAATGGAAAGACTCTTGTCCAGATCCTTAAAATGAAGATAATTGTTTGCCATGATGCAAGATGAAGATAATGAGTAAAGCGGACGTTCTGTAGTAGAAGAAAGGGCAACAAGATAGAGAATTTACGGTTCTCCAAGAATGAGAAAGCCTAAAAATTTATGCCAGTAATAATTTTTATTATCATTTTTAAAAGATATAATTTGCTTTGTTCTCATTATTTGGAGTAGTGGACTAAGCCAGTCCCAAGTCATTTGGCTAAGGAGAATTTTCTTTTATTGTATTTAATGGAGAATATGTATAGACTATTATTAGTGTATTATGAAAGAATGATAAGTGTTTGTGTCTAAATTAATTTTATCATTTTTTTTTTTAACAGGACATATTTTTGTTTATTACCAGACAGTTAAAAGGTTTGGAGGATACAAAGAGCCCACAGTTTAATAGATACTTTTATTTATTAGAGGTAAAAATAAAATTTAATAAATATCACACTATTCATGTAATAGAAAATTCCTTACAGTAACTTTATAATGCAGGATGAATTTTTTGTTTTATACAAATCCCACTTAATAAAATGTCTTTTTTAAGATAAAGTACATTCCACTGGAAAACCTATTACTTGAAACTCTATTTTCATCTTTCTGTTTTTATTCGTTCTAATCTGAAGAGGGATTAAGTTGAATTAATTTCCACTTGCTTATATTTAGTGTGTGTGTGTGTATATATATATATATCTACTAATCTCTAGCAATTTAGTATTTTTCCACTAGAGTAAGTTAATGCCAACAGATATATGTCTCTTTAAAGGTCACAGTATATGATAACTTTAACAACTTTAATTTTATATAGTTTTGTAAGCTTTAATAGAGATTTATAATTCTATAAATTGTAGTATTGAATTTGCTTTTGTGTAGCTATTCTGTGCAAGTGTAAATATTTATTTATTTATTTATTTATTTATTTATTTATTTAAGAACTTAGCTTGGGTTAAATCATACAACATCTGCTTCGAATTGGAAGATTGCAATGAAATTTTTATTCAGCTTTTTAGGACTCTCTTCTCAGTGATCAAGTAAGTTATTTTTTAAGCATTTCTGTTTGTCTCTTTCCTTGCTGTGCATTTTGAAGTATTGTGTACTTTGCCTGTGACTGTGATCTTTTAGATTTATAATGAAATGTTTCCCTTAGAAGACTTGACATGAAGAGGAAAATAACCAAACCTGTTGTCTGAAAGCTGCTTTTGCTTTTATACCACTATTTTAGTTAGGTATCAGTTTTATTGGTTGACTCATAAATGTGATGTATGTGATAAATGTAATGAAATATTAAATTATGAAGTGGAAATTATAAGTATTGTAAATAGCATTAGTGAGTGCTGAAAATCAGTACCTCAGTGGTTAAGCACACTGACTTCTCATTTTCAAGTGAGGAAAAAACCTTAAGCATTGCTCCTTCTTTAGAGAAATAGGGAAATTAATGCATAGGGAAGGGGAGTGTGGTGGCTTGCCCAAAGACAAATCACTGAACAGGAGAGCCTAAACTCTGATTTCAGTTCAGTGTTTTGTTGTGTTTTATTCTGTGTTTGTTTGTTTGTTTGGGGGTTTTTTGGGTTTTTTTTGTTGTTGTTTTTTGGTATAGTAAACCAAGCATCATCATGAGATATGTTCTACAGCATTGCACTATATGCAAACATAATGTTTTCATATAAATTTTAAATTTTCTAGTAACCATGTTAAGAAAGGTTAAAAAGAAACAAATTAGATTTATTTCAATAATATACTTTATTCTACAGTATCCAAAAGCATTAATTTTTTTTTTAAGGTTTCTTTATTTTAAAGAGAGAGAGCATGGGCAAACATATGTGAGCAGGGAGAAGGGCAGAGGGGGAGAGAGACTCTCAAGCAGACTCCCCACTGAGCTCGGAGCCTGATGTGGGGTTCAGTCTCATGACCCTGAGATCATGACCTGAGCTAAAATCAAGAGTCCAACAATTAACTGACTGAGCCACCCAGGCATCCACAAAAGCATTATTATTTCAACTTGTGGCTCTGTCCATATTACAAGTTTTCAGTGGCCATGTGGCTATTGGCTAATGGCATCCATATTGGATAGCACATTTCTGGAGTTTTCTGTAGATTTTTTTTTATGGACACTATGCTATCATGCTTTCTCTTTCCCTGGAATGGTAGGAATAGAATTTAACCTGGCATATATAGGAAGGAACTGGATTGAACTGGTGTAGAAATGGAAACTTATAAAGAGACTGCATGAGAAAAAGCTTCCTTTGGAACTAAATGAAGGCATGAAAAAAATGATAAACTGTATAAACTTTACCTTTTGTGTTAGTTAGCTTTTGCTGCATAACAAAACAACCCCAAACTTGCTGGCTTAAAATAGACTCCATTGTATTTGACTCCTAATTCTGTTTGGCAGTTCTTTTTGTCTGTGCTGGGCTCACTCCTCTATTTGCAGTCTGTTGACAGGACATCTGGCAGTTGGCTGAGGTAATAGGACAACTAGGTCATGTGTCTCTCTCTCTCTCACATTTTCATCATCCAGCTGGCTAGCCCAGGCCTCTTCAAATGCTGAGTGGGTTTCAAAAATAGCAAGAAAGAGCGTGCTTTACCTCACAAGCACTTTTTAAACCTCTGCCCACTTCATGTTTACTTATGTTTCATTGGCCAAGGAAGGTACATAGTCAAGCCTAGATTCAGAGGTTTGTTAGATAGACTCCATATCTTCGTGGAGGAACAGAATTTTAAAGCCATATGAATATAGAGATAGAACAATTTGTGGCCATTTTTTGTATCCTGTCACATTTTTGCAACTTTTTCTTTTAAAATTAAAATTGCCAACAAAATTCTAAAACTCTTGAAATTGTCATCATTCTGCCCCCTTGTTGACCTTTACTGTCAACTTAGTCCACTTCCCACTCTGCCATTATACTTTCCTCTCACAATTACTTGTACATACACACACCCTTTCTTTGATCCATTAATATTTTTATTTCCTGAACCTAAAGATGTAAGTTTGTTGTTGACCTAATTAATTAATTCATAGTGAGCTAGGAGTAAATAAAAGACTTGGCTTTTGGGGGCGCCAACGTGGCTCAGTCGGTTGATTGGCCAGCTCCTGATTTTGGCTTAGGTCATGATCTTGAGATCCTGGAACTGAGCCATGTGTTCCCTGCTCAGCAGGGAGTCTGCTTAAAGATTCTCTCCCTCTCCTGCCCCTTCCCCTGCTCGTGCTCTCTCAAACAAATAAATTTTAAAAGACTTGCCATTTGAAAGAGGAGCTCATTATTTTGTATTTACTGACACATTTACCATTTGTCTGGTGTTCTTCATTTCTTTGTGTCAATGCAGATTTCTATGTGGTATTGTTTTTCTTCAGTCTGAAGGACTTTCTTTAACATTTCTATAGTTCTGGTCTGTGCTGATAGATTTCTTTTGGTTTTGTATGTCTGAAAATGTCTTTATTTCACTTTCATTTTTGAAAGTTATTTTCATGGTAAAAATTCTAGGTTGATAGGCTTTTTTCTTTTGCTTTTTTTGTTTGTTTGTTTTTTCTCTTTTAGTACTTTTAAAGATGTTGCTCCATTTTCTGGTTTTCATTGTTTCTAATGAAAAGTTTTTGTCATTTTTAATCTTTGTTCCTCAGTACACAATGTATCTTTTTTCTCTACCTGCTTTTAAGATTTTCTCTTCATTACTGGTTTTAAACAATTTGATTATGATGTACCATGGTGGAGTTTTCTTTTTCTTGTGCTTGGGGCTCGTTGAGCTTGGATATGTGGGTTTACCATTCTGATTACAAGATACCCTGTGAATTGTGAGATTTTCCAATTTGGTTGGAACATGTTCTATTCTAAGACCTTTGTAAATTCCAGGGATTATTCCCTCTGCTCCTTTCAGGTGGTTCCTTTCCCAGACTCAAGTCATTTCTTCACATACATGTGCTGATTAGTAAGCAAGCACTTGAAGACTCAGGGATACCTTTACAGACCTGCTCTCTGAATAGGTCTCCCCCCTCTGATATTCTGCCCTGCAAACTCTAGTCTTTCCAGACTTAGAAAAACCACTAGGCTCTGTCAGTATCTTCCCTTCCCTTACTGCGGCCTGGAAAATGTTTTCCTCTCTCAGCAACATGTGCATGATGTGCAGTGTCTGAAAACTGTCATTTCATATATTTTGTTCAGTCTTTTAGTTAGTTTGAGGTAGGAGGATAAGTCTTACCCAATTATTGAATCTTGACTAGAACCTGTGGAAATCATTTTAAGCTGTTTTGTTTCTCTTCACTCTAATTCTTTCCTATCCGTAAGTATATTTGGGTCTGAGAGTTAAATACTCTCTTCAGTTTTTTTGCATCAGTCTGAATATTTCTATTTTTTCACCCTTGCACACACTCCCCCTAACATATAGTTGATCCTTCATGATCTTGGCCTTTAGTAAACAGGATATTTGAAAGAGGGTATGCTATAGGGGTATCTTTCTAAAAGTTGTAGGGAACAGTGTATCTAATGTGAGAATTTTTCCACCAGCTTCAGAAATTTTCATCTTGCATTTTACCATCAAGTGTTCAACAGGTCTCTTATACATTATTTCAGGTTAATTTTTTAAAAAGTAAGAGATACATAAATGATGTTAGAATTTTGCCTTGATTTAAACTTTCTGTATCCCTGTATCTGTAGTATCACTAAATTGTATCATTTCTCTTGATTTATCTTTACATATATATCTGATAAATGTGAAAATGGATATTTCAAGTCTTTAGTTAAGATGTAGTCAAAGGAGAGAAGCCTAGATGTTCTACTCGTTTTTAGCAGTTTTATAGCCAGTCTTCTTAGGTTAAGTACTGGATCAGCAGTAGAGACGTATTTATTGAGGAGGCCTACAGTTGATTCTTCACTGGCATGGCTTAGAAAGTAGGACTAAATCTGATTCTAGGCTTTATACCTTGTTGACTACTCATTCTTTTGAAATTCTTTGTGAGATACCTAAATGACATTTTCAGAAACTTCTAGTCATAAATTCTGATAAAAATTTTATATCAGACTTTTGATTTTCAGTATTGGTAAACTAAAATCTCTAGTGACAAAGATATTATAGCTAAAATTACTTGTATTGGCTAAGGTTTTTTTTGATGTTTATAGTTTCATTTTGGAAAATGTATTAATATGTAAAAGGCTGAAGAACTGTCTATTATCATTATCTTGTACTTTTTTTTGTTTTCTTAATTAAAATTTTATCACCTTTTAAAATCTGGGGACATATAAGCAAGATGTCCTTTCTTTGAAGTTGATGTTTTTGTTTGGTTGATTTAACCCACTCTTTGACTCCTAATTGTGTGGTGACTTAATTCATTTTAAAAGTCTTTGATTTTGTAAACTACTTTACAACAATACCTTACAGCTGTTGTTATAGTTAGCAGAGCGAGAAAGTAAATAGAACAGTCAAAATTTATGTGCCATTAATTAGTATGCTTTCTTCAAGTAACAATTCTTTTATCTGAGATAGTTGTTTTAAACTAGGAAGTATAATTTTCAAGCCTGATTTTTTTTTTTTCTTTAAGCAATAGCCACAATAAGAAGGTACAAATGCACATGCTAGACTTGATGAGTTCTATCATCATGGAGGGTGATGGAGTTACTCAAGAATTATTGGACTCCATTCTTATTAACCTCATTCCTGCACATAAGGTCTGTATAATATGAAGATATTAAGGGTTATATTTAAAGATACTACTACACATATAAAACATAATTGTTTTCCACCGTTTGCAATTTCACGTAATTATTCCCACTATCATTTTCTAGCCCCAATAAAATAGTGTAACACTCATCAGTCTTAGAGCTATTGTTTTTAGGAGATTTATTGATTAACATATATTATAGAAGATTTTCATTCAGTAAAGTGCTTCCTGTTTTCTGGAATACAAAAATCTTTCACATTCACTTACCTGTAATGTGGGAATTAGAAAGTACTGTCTTGGTTAGGTGTTTGTTTTTTGTTTTGGGTTTTTTTTGTTTGTTTGTTGTAGGATTTTTTGGGAAGGAAAATGTAGTTCCTTCTTTGTAACACAGATGTGGGACATAGGAATTGTATTTCTTCTCAGAATCCATTTTTCTTGGGCATTTTCAGAAAAAGATTTGGGCAGAAGCAGGAACTATATGGTTTAATGTTAAGCGGAAAGAGATGATTCATAGCTGTATATTTCTCCCTGTTTGTTTTTTCTGTTTTTCTCTGTTAACTTCTTCCTAAGGACCTGAAGTACTTAGCTTTCCACAAGCTCCACCACAGGGCTGGATTCAGTTGTACCGTATTTTTGATATTTACCCTCCCTCTCTTTTCTTCTAATGGTTCAGTGACCTATTATCGGATGTTAGATGAACAGTGTATCTAATAATGCATTTATCTAATAATGCAATTAATTAGAAGTTTTTCTTCTTCCAAATATTAATTTGCATTTTATTAATTCAAATGAATCTGTAATTTGCCAAAATTTTGAGAGTAATGGTGGGGGGGGGACATGTCAGACAAATTGAAGAGGGGAAAACAGAGGAATAGATAGCATATTTGGTGTTTATATTCTCGTTAATATTTTTATGATTAGGAAATACATATACTGTTTTAGGAAATAGAAAGGTTACCTTAATTTTGAGTTAATTTTTTACCTTTTTTTCAGTGGAATAAAATCTTGAGCAAGGGTCAAGAAGCTATGTCTTGTAGAACAAATCTAGTTCATTACCCATTTATGTAAAAATTTTTTTTGAGTACAGCTATGCTCATTCATTTTCATTTTGTCTGTGGCTGTTTCACACTCAACAGCAGAATTGTGTAGTTGCAGCAATAACTGTATGACTCAAAAAGCCTAATATTTCCATCTGGCTCTTTGCATAAAAATTTTGCTGATTACTCACCTAGAGTATAGGGTTTCCCAGCCTCTTTTTTGGGAGAGGTATAAGATGATGGTGAATGAATCTGTTTAGTCCAAAACTTCAAAGTATAGAGATGCTGATAGGTACTCTTTAAAATAAGGAATCCATTTCCAAATATGTTTTTAAAAATTGAATATGTCTTTTCTGTGGCCTTTCTCAGACCCTTTAATTTGTTATAGTGCACTGGTAATCTTGAGGGGCAAACACAGTAATTCGTGTTTCAAAACTATCTTAAGTGACCAAGTGTTTTTCCTGGAACACTTTCCAGGTGTACTATTCTTAGATCACACATTGATAAAACAATGAAGTACTTAGGATGGTGGGTTACATGGGGGTTGGGTGGGTGGGAGGTTGGTGTATTTATTTGGAATACAGGGGTATAATTGGCAGGTCAGATTGGTTAACAAACCCAAAAAGCCTTAGGTCCATTTTCAGTTTAATAAAACTAAACAAAAAAAAGAGTTTGACTTTGGCTGTCTAATATATTTTAGTTTTTTATTTACAGTGCTATTTGCAACTTCTGCATTTAAGACCACTTGACTAGAGAATATTAGGTAAAACCTTGAATGGGGTTCAGTGATATTTTTTGCTTTATAGTTTGGCAATTTGAAAATTATAATGTTATCATGGTTCTTTCTCATAAATTCACAAATTCATTTGTAACTTTGCGTATTTTTATTGTGTTCCAGAACTTAAATAAACAGTCCTTTGACCTTGCAAAAGTCTTACTGAAAAGGACAGTCCAAACTATTGAGGCATGCATTGCCAATGTATGTATTTCTGTTTATATTTATTCCATAATTGTATAATTCTTAATCCATTGTATTAATTAATGAGACCTTTCACATATAGTTCTGTTTAGCCTATAAACGGTTTCATCTATTTAAAACAAATACATAAAAGAACTGATATATCCAGATGTGACCAAATCCAATATAACTGTGTAAGCTTTGACATTATTTTTAAATGGCGTAAGAGGATATCTTATAAAAACTTGTCCACAACTCCCCCCCCTCTTTTGCTGCCTTTATATTTAACTTTTTATCTCCTGAGTATGCTGATCTCTTTCGCTTTCTCCTTCCTTCTTTACCTTTATTTTTCTAGGTCATTCCTCTGAACTCTTTTGTTTCTCTCTTAAATAGCTGTTGTATATTAATAAAAATACTTTTTTCTTTATTGAAGTTTTTTTAACTTAAAAAAAATAAGTCTACAGTAAAAAATAATTTTTAATTCTTCCTAATATAGCAGTTCATTCCATTGTTTGCACATTTGCTCACATTCATGTCTATTTTTTCACATACTCTGTGTAAAATTTTGAATTGTCTGTATTTATGATTTTTTCTCTATTTTGAAATTATTTCTTTTTAATATAAATGACCATAAATATTTCTCTGAATTGACATATATCCATAATTTAACTAACCGTTTCCTTATTATTTTGCATTTAGATTATTTCAGTGTTTTCCTTTAATAGCTATTTTCTTGAGTATAGCATTTATCTGTTGTTGAATTATTTTCCACATATAAAAACCCAGGTGAGAGCATATTAATGGTATGAATTATTAGTATTATTTATATTACTAAACTAATATTTAAACATGGTAAAAGAAAAGTTTCTTTTCACAAAAGAATATATCGTGGAAAGTGTCTCTCTTCAACTCTGGATACCCTAATCTCAGTTTTCAGAAATAACCATTACCAATAGACTTTAGTATATCCTTCCAGAATTAGTGTTCTATGCATGATCATTTTTGTATATGTGTATTTTTTAAAACTATTTTTTTATCTTTCCAAGGTGTGCATAGTAAGTATGAGTATTTTTTAATATTTTTGAATTTTTAACATGTGTTGGTTTTCAAAGGAAATATATTGTTTGATGATACTACCAAATATACAGGCTACATCAGTTATGTGCAGCTGCCTCTAGCATTTTTAAATTTAATATTTTTTTTCCTACGTATGTATGTGTATTGGCAGGGAATGTTAGGTGTCTTTTAATTTGTGCTTTTGATATTCTCTTTGTTTCTTCCTAGCATTCTTTTAAATTACCAGTTAGCTTTGGTATCATCACTTTTTTTCTCTTGATACTTTCAGTCAAAATCTTTTTGACTTTGGGCATTTAAAAAAATAAGAATTCAGCCCCCACCTTTAAGTACTCTTTATTACTAAACTCATGGCAAAATTAGTCAGACTTAAGTAAAAGGCAAAAAGATTGAGACTTTAAAATTTTTCTATTATAAGGAAATTTATCTATAAAATTTTTTATAGTGAATTACATAAACTATCAAAGTTGTTTTGTTTTTATGGAAGATTCCTAGAAATACCATCTTAATTTGGAAAAAAGCTAACAACTGAATTCCTTTTTCCCTATTACATTCATAATTAGACATTTAGAGGTTTATTCTGTTTTAGTGACTATTCTGTCATATATTAGTAACTGAAATATGTTTCATCCCCTTCAGTTGTATATGTAATGCCTAATTATATCTTTTTTAGACAGGTTTATTAAAAAAAGTCTGTCCAAGTGTTTAAGTGAAATAGATATTTTATTTTTGTTTAATATCTCCTTTAGTTTTTCAATCAAGTCCTGGTGCTGGGAAGATCATCAGTAAGTGATTTGTCAGAACATGTATTTGATCTGATTCAGGAACTTTTTGCAATAGATCCTCATTTGTTATTATCTGTCATGCCGCAGCTTGAATTCAAACTAAAGGTAGGACTGACTATAAGTTTTAAGTTTTTTAAGCTTTAAGAGAAAAATTTATATGTAACTGTAAAAGATATAAATATTGTTTTTCTCTTATAAAAGAATAAAATGTGAGTTTAGTTTATCTTCTTACAGTTAGTTAAGGTATACATTTTTAATCATTTCAGTAAAACAGTCTCATCTAGGTATAATAGAGTTACATGGGAAAATTATAACTCTCCTAGTTGTTAAATATCTGATTAACAGAGTGACATAATAATAGATTTGAAAAATGGTATTATCCCTTGTAATACATAGTTATTAAATAGTATTTATTATTAGGTAGATACATTTTTGAACATCAAAAGATTTCAAACTGACTGCTCAAAGGATCTTGATTATAACTATATGAACCTTCCATAGTATAGATCAAGGACAAAAATTTTTCTGTATGACTTGGGGCATATCTTATTTTTTATAGCCAAGTAAACAAGGGATTTGTAACTCCTCAAAAAATATGAAAAACTTGACACTCGATACCTTGTTCCAGTTGAACTTTGTGAGATAACAGCTTACATTTGCTCAATATTTTCAACTTTGTGAAAGGTTTTTTATATCTAATATCTTATTTGATCCTTAAACTGTGGTATAGTTAGAACCAACATTATAGTTTTGAGTTTTGAGATGAAAAATTTAAGATGAAATAATTTTGCCTAGTTGCACAGCTAAAACAGACTTGTTAGAACTCCAGTTTTCAGACTCTTTTCAATATGTATACATGATGGTTACGAATTGTCCATGTTGGGGGCGCCTGCATGACTCACTTGGTGTTAAGCATTCTGCTCAGGTTATGATCTCAGGGCTGTGAGATAAAGCCCCATTGGGCTCCGCACTTAGTGGGGAGTCTGCTTTTCACCCTCTCTACCACCCACTCCACCCAAAAGCACTGGACATGGAGCCTGTTTAAGATTCTCTCTCCCCTCTCCCCCTCCTCCCCCTCAAAAAAAAATAAAGAATTGTCCATATTGTCTTTATTATAAATATTTATCGCTTATAGTATAGAAGGACATTGTACCAAGCTTCTAAGAAAATCTGTTACTTGAAAAATATTAAATGGAGAACAAGGTTTTGTTTCACTTTTTAATATTGAGTTTATTTTAACAGCCTAAAGATGTTTCCCTACCAAATTATTTCTAGGTGTAAGGCATTAAAATATTTTCTGTCAATCTCTACATAGAGTGTGAATATGAAAAGTCACACCTCTTCAATCCTTAAATAAGATTGCCGTGATAGATGGGGGGACAGAATTAAGAACTAGATTTCTAGGTTTCTGTGTGTGGACTGAGACACCACCTCAGAGACACCGAATGGTTTTTGCACCAAAATCAATTTACCATTACTATAATCATATTCCAGCCTCACTCAAGGAATGTATTTTAAATTTTTATAAGGTAGGAGGGCAAGTTGTCACTCAGTTTCAGTAGTTAAAAATATAAATATAAAATGTCACATCGTTTGAAATAATCACTAAGTCACTGAAGTCACAAACAAGTAGGATAAAACTTCCACTTAATTTAGTTTTTGACGTTTAGTCGGTAGACTGATTTTTCTTCAAAAAAATAAGTCGTGTTGGTTAGTTGATTGGATTTACTAAAAGGTCCTAATCTGCATTGTGGTCACATTGCTTGAGAAAAACTTTGTCATAGAAAACAATTTTTTTAATTACAAATGTTAAAGCTTGATACCATTTTCATTTTTACCTCTTTGATAAGGGTGCCTGTTTTACCCACAAAACCCCTTTTCCTGAAAGGTAAACTATTCATAACAAAGACCATATCCCATGTTCTTTGTTTTTTTAACCTGCTTTTTCCATGAGTATTTTTTTATTGGATTTCTGGTATTACTGGAGACACACATTGTATATGAATGGTTGAGAAAATTAGCAATTGCTTTTTGCTACTGCCTTTATTTTCCTAGTCAATATGTGATTTTTAAAGTTTTACCTATCACATGGTTTCAGAATAACTTAATTTATAGTAAGATGTGACATCACTAGGGAAACTGAAACAATTCATAGCATATATTGATTCAGGATAAGAAAATTGGAGGTCTTTATCAAAAAAAAAATTTCAAACTAAGTTTTGATTTTTTTATAATGTTCTGTTTTGCTGACCTTTTAGATCTTCTTAATATTCTTGTTATTCTATTAAAATGAGTTTTCCTGGGGTGCCTGGGTGGCTCAGCTGTTAAGTGTCTGCCTTTGGCTCAGGTCATGATCCCAGGGTTCTTGAATCGAGCGCCGTGTCTGGCTCCCGCCGTGTCTGGGTCCCTGTTCCATGGGAGCCTGCTTCTCCCTCTCCACCCCCCCCCCCCCCCCCCGCTTATGTTCCTTCTCTCACTGTCTCCCTCTGTCAAATAAATAAATAAAATCTTTTAAAAAATAAAAGTGAGTTTTCCTGAATCACGACATTCTTCAGTGTTATATTCTCTAGTAACTTAGGGGATCTCCGTTTTTGTTTTGTTTGTTTGTTTTCAAGATTTTATGTATTTATTTGAGATAGAGCAAGAGTGAGGGAGCCAGAGCAAGTGCTGGGGGAGGACAGAGAGAGAGCGAGAAGGGGAGCGGGAAGCCTGATGTGGGGCTGGAACCCAGGAACCTGAGACCATGACCCGAGCCAAAGGCAGAATCCTGGTTGACTGAGCTACCCTGGTGTCCCTAGGGGATCCTTGATTAAAATGTCGTATATCAAAACCTTAATTGATAGGAGTTTATGTTGGAGTTCAAATGGCAGAAAGATTTCTTATAAGAAAACTTAGTAGGATGGGGGCCTCCCGGGTGGCTTAGCCTGTTAAGCACTCTTGATCTCAGGGCTGTGAGTTCAGGCCCCACACTGGGCTCCACAGTGGGTGTGGAGCCTACTTAAAAAAAAGAGAAAGAAAGAAAAGAAAACTTACCAGGGTGGGAATTATTTGCAGCTTTGCCTTTCACAGAATTTTTTCCAAGACTCTTTAGGGAATGTTAGAATTGAATGATTATCTTAGTATTTCTACAGTGTCTGTGTAGATTGCAAATAAGCAGTGAAGTAGGCATAAATTAGCATTTGGAGGGGGTGTAAAATAAGAACAAAGAACTAGATGATGTGACATGGAATCACATCCATTTCCACATAGTAAATGAGAGCATATGATATTTTAAAGTTCTCATCGTTGTAAGTGGAAATAGGAAACTGTAGTTTCTCGGGAATGATTCATGTTGTTTTCTATAATCTGATGAATAAACTTTGGCTTTATTTATTTTTTCGTTTTCCTTAGAGCAATGATGGAGAAGAGCGATTAGCTGTTGTTCGACTTTTAGCTAAATTATTTGGTTCTAAAGATTCTGATTTGGCAACACAGAATCGTCCTCTTTGGCAGTGTTTTCTTGGACGGTAAGAGAACATATAATTCTATGGATTCTGACTTGTATGTTTTGGAGGCCAGTCAGTATGGTCCATTTGATTAAAACCACACGTACCAAAACTTTAATTGATATGTGGTGGGTTTTTTGTTTGTTTGTTTGTTTGTTTGTTTGTTTTTTAAGTATCTGTTGCTCTTTCTTAGAGAACAAATTACACATCAGATTTTTTATGAAGAATGCTTATTATTTACCACATAACACTTTTTAATCTTTCTGTGCTACAATAATGTCATTAGAATAAATAGATAGGCAATATCTGAGAATGTTCCATCTTAAGATTTTTAAATCATGAGACTGAAGACATAATGATCCAGTCCATGCCATTTTTCTGTCCAACAATGTATTCGTTTACTAGTGTTTATTGTTTAGGTCTGTAGCTTATCTAATTGAATGATGTATGTTATGAACTAATTTGGTATTATAGTACAATTTTGAAATTGAAAATGACATTGCTCTTGGTTCAGATAATTTTTAATGTTCCTTCTCGAGAACTCAGAATTATTAGGATCTATTCAACTTGATGATAACGTTGAAAAATATCTTTGATATTTATCAGATTCCCTCTTGCATTCCATTTACATGTTTCTTGCTTCAGACCATGAAAAGTCTGTTTTTCCTCTTAGTATTCTGGAAAATATTTAAGATTCATCATTGTTTAATTCAGCTGATTCAGAAGGTGGGCTTAGAAATTTTCTTAAATTCATTATAATGATCCCAAGTTAGATTTGCCAGTTATATTTTGATATTTGAGAAATCTCTGACACTGACCATCTTAATTTACTTAGAACAGGCCATTTTGAAGGTCTGTAAATGCTGGCTATTTTGAATAATTAAACTTGATTTTATGACAACTTAAAATAGAGGGAATGAAACAACTATACTTGTCAGTAAACAAGAGGAGTGATTCTGTCCTTGTGATTGCCTCGATGTTTATAGCAAAACAATTACTTATAAAAACTAAATCAAGTGTAAGAAACTTCTTATATTCATAATTTTATATTCACTGCTATTTCTAATAATCAGTCTCCTTCATATTTCTACATATGAAGCATTCATTCATTGAATTCATTAAAACGGAGAAGTATTACCAGTGTATCTGTTTTACTGTATTATTTTCCTTAATTATTTAGCAATAAGTGTTTTGATACTTTATAATTTAGTTGATCATAAATGGTAATGTTTTCATTTTTCTCTGGCATTTAGAAAATTTATAAATCCTGGGGTGCCTGGGTGGCTCAGTGGTTGGGCCTCTGCCTTCGGCTCAGGTCATGATCTCAGGGCCCTGGGATCGAGCTCCACATTGGGCTCTCTGCTCAAGGGGGAGCCTGCTTCTCTGCCTACTTGTGTTCTCTCTCTCTGTCAAATAAATAAATAAAATCTTTTTAAAAAAAAAAAAGTTTTAAAAAAAAGAAAATTTATAAATCCTAAAATTATTGTAATTTTAGTCTTTACTTAGGAAAGTAAGAAGAAAGTAAGCTTTATTTATTAAGACATTTAGGGGCACCTGGGTGGCTCAGTGGTTAAAGCCTCTGCCTTCGGCTCAGGTCATGATCCCAGAGTCCTGGGATCGAGCCCCACATCGGGCTCTCTGCTCAGCAGGGAGCCTGCTTCCTCCTTTCTCTCTCTCTGCCTGCCTCTCTGCCTACTTGTGATCTCTGTCTGTCAAATAAATAAATAAAACCTTAAAAAAAAAAAAAAGACATTTATTGGGGCACCTGGGTGGCTCAGTCAGTTAAGCATCTGCCTTTGGCTCAGGTCATGGTTCTGGGATCCTGGGGCATAGTGCTCCCTGCTCAGCAGCGAGTCTGCTTTTGCCTCTCCCCTGCTTGTGCTCTCTCTCTTTTTCTCTCTCTCTCAAATAAATAAAAAAAATCTTTTTTTAAAAAGGCATTTATTATATAACTTTAATTGGTTATCTTATGAGATTACTTTAAAAATAGTTTTGCTTTTTAAAAACAGATTTTTATAATTAACAATTGTTTTTAAATTGCCCATAATTTTAAATTTGAGAGTTGCTAAGTTTACTTTTATTATGTACAGGCTGGGATCTACATGTGGTGTTTCATATTTATTGCATTTTTACAATATACTCAACCTTTGCAAGAGTACTTTAATACAAGTTCATCCCAGCATATGAAACTTCTTTGTTGTAAGGCAGTTATGACACATACATTTATGAACTTTCCTTTGAACTTCTAGACCTGCCTCTCATATGATTTGTTTTCTACCTCTTCGTCCAGTATTTTCCCCTTTTAACGTTTTTCAAGTACATTTTGTAGGTTTTAAATTTTTATTTTTTGTTTTGTGTTATAACTAGGCTCTTAAATTTGGGGCTCTACAAAGTATGTATTTTGGGTTGGGGGATGTATTTATACTTTTGTTTTAGCATGGTAAACATTGTGTTTTCAAAAATGTTTTTGTGAAAATATGTATTTTTTTATATTCTTCCTTCAGAACATACTGTTATTATAAAATAACACACTTTTTTATTGGTAACTGTTGTTTATAGGCACTTATGTAGATATGAAAATAATTATTTATTTGAAAATAATTATTTTGCCTTACAACTAATCTTTAACAACCTTTTCCATGTAGATTTAATGACATTCACGTTCCCGTGAGATTAGAAAGTGTGAAATTTGCCAGTCACTGTTTAATGAATCACCCAGATTTAGCGAAGGATCTCACAGGTAAGCTGACTGATTTATTATAAATACGAGAGTAATCACACAAATATATTTTAGATGTGACCTTTGACCTTAAATTTAGTATCTGAAGAGGTTTTAACTCTGCCTCTACTTCAGTTTTTTATCAGTCCTGGGCTGATAAGTGATTTTTATATTTATATAATAAAATTACTCTTGAAATCTTCATATTGTAATCCTTCAGGATTTTTTGGAAATCATAGTTTGAGGAAGTAGACATTGGGTTTGGGCACAAATCATTATACCTATATGATAATTAAATTTAGAAACATGATCTAATAATAACCCGGAAAGTGATTATCTCCTGGAGTAGACTAGAATTTCCCATTCTTAACTTGAACATGGAGCATTTGAACTTGCTTGTTTGGTATTCGCAAATAAATGATTTTATCAAAAGAGAAGAATCATTTTTTGTTTTGGTTTTGTTTGTACTGTAATTATTTAAGAATCTTTTTTAGAGGTCATAGAATTCTAGTTACTATGTATTTTATATTGTGTAATGTACAGAAATATACCTGTCAGCAAACTTGTTGTAAGCATTTTTACTATTTTTCTTTTTCTTCTCTTAATTTGTATTGTAACTTAAGTTCTGAATATATAAATCAGATATTTCATTGTGATTTGACTTTTCCACAATAGTTGAGGTAAAATACATTATTTATTAAGATGTGACTCCAGTAAGAAATAGTGTGGTGTATTTTATTTTGTGATTATGTAGGGTATTGCCATATCAGAAATAAAATTATTTTAATTCATGCCACTTTTTACAAACATTGTTTCAGTATGGATAGAAGCCTAAAGCGTTAGTCTTTTCTGTCATTCTGAACATGACAAGTATCATAGCTAACATTTAGCTTTAGTTTTTTTCTCTTATTACAGAGTATTTGAAAGTTAGGTCACATGATCCCGAAGAGGCTATTCGTCATGATGTCATTGTTACTATAATAACAGCTGCCAAAAGAGACCTTGCCTTAGTAAATGATCAACTCCTTGGCTTTGTAAGAGAAAGAACACTGGATAAACGGGTAAAATCTGAGGAATTTTATTCTTTTGTAATTTATTATACTTAAAATGTTTACTAAAGACAAAGAAATTATTTCTAAAGTTTTAATTTAACTTTTCAGTTATGAGTTTCAGTAGAATAGTGAGTGATCACCTATGTTGTTTTTCTTACAGTTACCATTTTCAAAAGTGACCGTGTCACATAAACTTAGCTGGATCTATCATTCATTGGGCTAAAAATATATCATACTTTATATGAAAGTGATATTTCTGTATCGCTATGCCATGCTAAGGGCTGAAGTGACAGTCATATGTTCAGATACTTTTTTGTGTGACTTCCTCTCTGTGGTTACAGTTAAAAACATGATTTGTTAAGGAAGACTAGTACTAAGAACAACAAAACCTGTTGCTAATGAATAGTGTCAGCTGTAAGCCAGAGACAGACATGCAGGGCAGGCTGATCAGGCATCGTATTAACAACTTGAACACAAGTTACCTTTGCAGTGTGCTGTTTTATTTGGGGCATAGTTGAAAACACACCGTCCTCGTAAAACCAGTGTCCTTTAGCAGTAGTTTCAGAGTAAAACTATATTTCTTGGTTATAAAATACAGCAAAGGTATTCTTTAGGTTCTTTCTAACTATTTTGGTAGAGGAGGCAAGTATGTCAGGCAGGCGCTGTTTAACATGTTCAGCTGTATCAGTAATTACAACTTTGAACAAGTTTTTCCTCTTGGCTTTTATTTAAATGAAATGAAGCTCTACCTGTTGGTTAGCTAGTAACTTTCCCGCCGCCACCTCCATACACACACTTGATTGAAGGTATTACCATTTGTATTATTTCTTCGTTTTAGAAACATTTCACTCCTGCTTCTGCTAATGTTTGTTTATAGTTTCTGAAAGAGTTGAATAAATGAATCTTCCTGAGGCTGTGTGATATGGTCATAATAGCATCTACTAGATATTTTTTTAGGACCCCAATTTTGGTGCAGTAAATTAGATGACCTTGTGTATAGCCTTTCTGAAATTTGTTTTCTCCTCTATAAAATGTGGGGACAGGACTAATTCTTAGATTTCACTGCTTACATTATTTGGTTTCATGTGTGAAATGTCAAAGGCATCAGTTACCTGTTATATGGGAACAAAGTTTCATTCCATCTAAATATCCTAAAAATGAAGAAATTATATAAAAGATTGTAAAGAAATATTAATGTAAATAAACCAAAGATCATATGCTCTGATTTGTTATTGAGACAAATATCTTTTCTAGTTGTTTTTTGTTTTTTTTTTAATTACATCTCACTGTCATGGTTCTAACCAAAAACCAATGGTTTTTATAGTCTCCTTTTTTTATCGACCTTCTTCCTGCCACCTTTCTTTCCTCCTAGCAAACTGTTCCAGTCTCTAGAAGTCCCAAAGAGTCTTCTTCCACTAACTAGTATGTGGCTAGGTAAATCATTTGCCCTTTTAATCTATAAAGTAAAGAAGTTCACTTAAAATGATCACTAAGGTGCTTTCCAACTTTGTAATTTAGGATCCTGATACTAAATTTTATTTTTATTCTGAGTTAATATCAAAAGGGATGTAATTAGGATAAAACATTACAGATGATAGGGCTTTTGGTTGCAGGGTAAATCACATTTTCTTTTACGTTTTCATCAGTTTTAAAACTTGGGCATATTTTTTAGACAGAATCTAATGAAATCATGTGCAAATCATGTACTACTGATTGCTTAGCTGTGAGGGAAATAAATTGGTAGGTGATTTAGTAGTATTTGCATTAGACAATTTTTTAAATAGTCTGATTTATGAATAGGAATATTCAAAATTACTGGTAAAGCAATTTGTTGCTTCTTAGGAGAATAAGTATTATGCCAGTTTACGTACATATAAGTCTGATTGTAAAACCTAGTGAAGAAATGCCAGTTTTTGCAGATTTGTATACTAAAGTTTGATATCTTGCTCATTCAATAAACTTTATACTTTTTAGTGGCGAGTAAGAAAAGAAGCTATGATGGGTCTGGCTCAGCTTTATAAGAAATACTGTCTTCATGGTGAAGCAGGAAAGGAAGCTGCAGAGAAAGTCAGCTGGATAAAGGACAAACTTTTGCATATTTATTATCAGAATAGCATCGATGACAAGTAAGTCTGGCATATTGGTAGAATGGTTGACTATAAAAGTGCTTTTGATTTTTTTGACATATAATATACTTCTTAATTTTTTAATTGTTTCTAAATTTGGAAATCACTTTCTGCATATTTATACATTCTGTGTTTAAATAAGACTGGTACAAATTGTCAAGTAGCATAATTAGTGAAGTGGGTATGGGCTTTGGGGTCAGATCAGAGACCAGATATTCATTCTTCACCTTATTAGACGTCTGCTTTACACAGCTGACTTCTGTGCACCTTGTTTTATCTAAAAAGTAATAAAGCTTTCCATACAAGATGGTCATGTGGATTAAATAAAAAAACATAAAGCTCCCTAGCCCAAGCCTGTCAATATGAGACTATTCAATAACTGCTAGTTACTATTTTTACTTTTTTGCAACACAATAGGTATCAATAGAGGCAGTGCTATGATGTTTTTTTAATTGAGGAACAATCGACACATAACGATTATAGGTATATAACAATGATTCTGTATTTGTATATATTGGGAAGAGATCACCACAGTATGTCAAATTAACATGCATCCCCATACTTGTTACAAAATTTCTTTCCTCGTGTTAGGGACTTACATTGTTTCATTTTCTGAATATTACTTGTAATTCTATATTGGGTTGTAGTAATGATTTTGGTTTTTGCAAAGTGCTTTGCAGTGTTTGATAGAATTAGACTGATAACTTCTGCATCACTGGCTGTGTATTTTATTGATTAATGAAGATTTCTAGTATTGTCTTATTCTTGTGGTTCTAGTTAATAAATATAAGCTTAGCAAGATGGTTATTCCAGTATCATTAAGGAATTTAGACTGTGGAGAGAAGAGAGATCAGATACACACAGGAAAAGCTAAATTTTCGGGAAGTGGTAATATGAAGGAAGATCCCCCTGATTTTAGATGACCTCATGGGAAAGGAGTTGGATTGTAATTGGAGGAAATTAATGTGTATGGGGCGGGGGAGTGTTGGGTTGTTTTGGTTTGGTTTTGGGGTTTTTCTTTCTTTCTTTCTTTCTTTCTTTTTTTTTTGAGAATTAGCTGTCCGTGACTGCTAAGTAATTTTCTGTAGCTCAGGAGTGATGAAGAATAGCAGGCACAGCCTCGCACCCTGTATTTAGGAATAACATATAAACCCTTTTAGAACAAATGTTCCATACTGACAAAAAGTGAAGCCACAATAGCAACCATAGCTCTAAATTTTAAAATAACTATACCCAGGGTGCCTGCCTGTCTCAGTCAGTAGAGCATGCAACTCTTGATTTCATGAGTTCAAGCCCCACATTGGGCATAGAGAGTACTCCAAAAACAAAAAATAAGAACCACCAACAATCAAATAAAAACCGTACTCCAAGGAAAGGAACTGGTCACCTACTAATCTTTTCCACTGTATTTACACACATAGATCTGGTATCTTTGCATGAGGTGGTTAGAATATAAAAAGGCTGTTGCTTCTAAAAATAAAAAAAAAATAGAATAATTGTTATTGGGATTTTTTGTTTTATAGACTATTGGTAGAGAAAATCTTTGCTCAGTATCTTGTCCCCCACAACTTGGAAACAGAAGAGAGAATGAAATGCTTATATTATTTATATGCTAGTTTGGATCCAAATGCTGTCAAGTAAGTTACTTTTTAAATGATTGTTTGGAGTTAAAGATTTTGTAAAAATTACTTTACCTTATCTAATTGTTGATGGGATTGTTGCTTCTTCTAGTTGAATCAAGAATTTCGGGGCGCCTGGGTGGTTTAGTCATTTAAGGGTCTGACTCGATTCTGGCTTATTTTCCTGGGCTGGGCACAGAGCTTGATTAAGATTCTCTCCCTCTGCCCCCACCCAACCCACCCCTTGCACTCACACATGGTCTCAAGGGAAAAAAGAACCTTAGATAATGTTTATACAAAAAATCTTTAGAAGTTCAGAGAAATTAAAAGCAAAAATTCCAGTATGTGTAGACATATTTGGCAACTGAGTCAGTAACACAGTTTCAGAGATTCAAAGAAATCCCCTTGTCAAAAGGACTTTTGTCTACCTGTTGAAAGGGATCTAAATTACACTCTTGGAGCTTTACAGTACAAATCCTAAGAACTAAATCCTGCTTCTTAATCAGGAAAGTATGTTCAGATCACCCCTGTGTAGAATGACCATATGATTGTTTGTCTGAACTGGGATATTTTTTAAACTGAAAGGCGCTATTAATATTTTTGATCCGGCAGTTGGCATAAACGTTAACTGTCCCAGGCTAACTAGAATGTGTGGTCACTCCGTTGTAATAAAGCTTTTTAAAAAGTAAACATGTCCTGTCACTAAGAATTCCGATTATTCTGAAAAGAACCTCAGCTCGTGTGTGTGTGTGTGTGTTATTATAATATGTGTATATTGTATTTTATGTATTTGTCTTTTAACTTTCATATAATTTCAAGCTTATAGAAAAGTTGCGGGAATAATAGAAAGTGTTATGATGTGCTTTTTTTTTTTTAAGATTTTATTTATTTTTTTGACAGAGAGAAATCACAAGTAGGCAGAGAGGCAAGCAGAGAGAGAGAGAGAGGAGGAAGCAGGCTCCCTGCAGAGCAGAGAGCCCGATGCGGGGCTCGATCCCAGGACCCTGAGATCATGACCTGAGCTGAAGGCAGAGGCCTAACCCACTGAGCCACCCAGGCGCCCTATGATGTGCCTTTTATCCAGATTCGTCATTTGCTTTATCATTTGCCATTTGCACATACTTTTTCTTTCTCTCTACATAAATATTTTTTTCTGAACCATTTGAGAGTAAATTGTAGACACTGGATCCATTTACCCCTAAATATTTCAGTGTATATTCCCTAGGAGCAAGATATTCTCTTATATGACCAAGAGTACTTTTACCAAAATCAAGAGATTTAACATTGATAAAATATCATTGTCTAATGTATATTTAAGTTTCCTTAGTTATTCCAGTAATGTGTTTTATGAGGTTTTTTATTTTCCATTCTAGGATTACAGATCGTATATTTCATTGTCATGTCTCTGGTTATCTTAATTTGGAGCCATTCCTTAGCCTTTCTTTATCTTTTATAACTTTGATGATTGGGAAAGAGTATTGCATGGTCCAGTCCAATTTTGTAAAATATCCCCTCAATTTGGGTTCATCCAGTGTTTCCTCATTATTAGATTGGGCTTATGCATTTTCAGCAGAAATTCTACAGAGGTAACTTATGTTGGGTCCCTAGTGTATTATATTAGGGGACATTGGCCATTTTAAAAATTTGCAGGTGGTTCCTGATGCTCATCCTAGGTAGTAAATCCCTGGCCTAAGGTTTTGATCTCTCTATATTTTCAAAATATTGGCAAATAATACTCCAACATAGACTAATATCTCAGAGATCCCTCTGGGCACCTGGAATTATGAACTGGGTTTGTGAGAGAAGAAAAATTGCTTTCATGGAGAGAAGGAAGTCTAGAATAATAAATACTCAAGTTAAATTTGATGCCTTGAATCTGCATCATTTCTGGGAAGTTCATTTCTGCAGCCCTTCATTCATACCTCTTAGCCTACCATGAAAATGCCTTTATGATCTGATCCTTTTCTGCAGTATGTTCCCGCTTTCTGGTGATACTTCATTCGCACTCTCTGTCCCAAATCTGTAAAAAAAATTTTGTTACCTATCCCAGGCATTTTGATGACATTTTATCTTTTTTTGTACTAGAACATTCTAGTTTCCTCTGCTTAGAATGTCTTTCAGTCCAGGGCACCTGGGTGACTCAGTTGGTTAAGTGTCACTCTTTGGCTCAGATCATGATCTCGGGGTACTAGGTTCAAGCCCCATGTCTGGCTCCCTGCTCAGTGGGGAGTATGCTTCTCCCTCTCGCTTTGCCCCTCCCACAACCTCCCACTAAAGCATTCTCTTTCTCTCAAACAAATAAAATCTTTAAAAAAAAAATAATAAAGTCTTTCAGTCCCCATTTACCTAGAAAGGTCCTATTCATCGTCCTAAAACTTCTTAAATACTTTCTTTCATAAGAAGCCTTTTATTTACTATTTTAAACCTACCTGTCTTAGTCCCGTAAATAAATGCTGGTGCTGCTGCTTAAAATTTTTAAATAGATGGAGAAGCATGGTGTATCTGTCCTATACAGCAAGAAAAATAGTAAAGTTGAATAATTACCAGATTGTTATATTACATATTTTTTCATATTTATTAACAGAGCTCTCAATGAAATGTGGAAGTGTCAGAACATGCTTAGAAGTCATGTACGAGAACTGTTGGATTTGCACAAGCAACCTACAGTAGGTTCATGATTTGTTTAAATTAATAGTTTGTTATGGTCATTGTTCAGTTTTTGTGTAGTTACATATAATGAAGCAAGTAAAAACTATCATTGAGTGTTTTCCAAATTTTGGTTACACATAATTTCTCTAGTTTTCCAAGCTGTATTTTCACTGTAAATGAATATAACAAAATCTTATTTTCTAGCATGAACAAATAAATGGTAATTTCTAGTTTATCATTTTAGATACTAAGAATTTATATATGGTTCATCCATTTTCAAATAATTAGAATTAAACATTAAGATAAAATTTTATGAGAAACCATGATTTGCTTTTTTTTTTACTCCATGATTTTGGGTCCTTCATTGTAGAGTCAATATCAAATTAGGTACCAATTATATAAATATGGCAAAGTCAAATTAACAAAAAAATTCTGCCCAGCGTCGTCTGGAAGATGGGAGAAAGAAATGTGAATAATTTCTTAATATATTTCTAAATGTGTTTGCTACTAGAATGGGTGTTCTTAACTAGGGACTTATAGACAGAGACCCTTCAAGAGTCTATTGATGCTAAAGCAAGGGTTGGCAAAATTTTTTTATAAATGATCAGATTACAAAAATTTAGGCTTTACCAGCCATAAAGTCTCTGTTAAACTGCTCAACTCTGTTTCCAAAATCACAAAAGCAGTCATAGACAATATGTAAATGAACGACTGTGACTGTGTTTCTGCAAAACTTTAACAATAACAGATGGTTCATGGGACCATAGTTTACCAATTTCTGATCCAAATTATTCCAATGTCATACAAATTTAGTAATAAAGTAATACTTTATTATTGTGTTGGACTGTACAAAATTACTTTTAGGAAGGCAGAGGATATTCTGAGGTTATTTTAGTAATAGGCCACAGAATAGTTAATAGAACTATTCAGAATAGGAAGAAATTTTTTTCTACTCTTAACATTTTTAGTTAATTTTCTTTGATGTATAGTTTCACAGTAATTTTGATGATAATTATTTCCATTATCTTCAGGTCAGTATTCTGGCAAGATGTTTTCCTTGTGGAAGTTATGTACTCCTTTTTAATATTTAAAACCTCTTTATGACATCACCTTTCCTTCTCTTTGTCCTAACTTAATAGTTGTTGCCACTCCACAGTTCTTTGTTATCAACTTAAGGTATAGATTTTCTGGCGACTGGTTTGTGATGTTTTTTTGTTTTGGTTTAGTTTTGTTTGTTTGTTTTTCTTTAAAAATGTGTAATTGGATTTTCTTACAGAAATTTGGTAGCACATATGACTTCTTTTGTTTCTGTTTTAAATTTCAGTCAGAGGCTAACTGTTCTGCCATGTTTGGAAAGCTGATGACCATAGCAAGTGAGTTTGTTTATTCATTCCGTATATATGTATAATAAACATCAAAACAGACAAATAATTTACATAATGGGACTATCAATTTAATACTAAGTAAGAGAAAGTAATCATCTTAATTTCTAAGAACGAGGGAGGCTGATTATTTTTTGATAACTCAGCATAATTTTTAAAAGAGCTTGCTTTTAGTTTGGTAGTTTTTCTTTTATAATACTGATTCTCTTTCAATTTTACAGAGAATTTGCCTGACCCTGGGAAAGCACAAGATTTTGTAAAGAAATTTAACCAGGTTCTTGGTGATGATGAAAAATTGCGATCTCAGCTGGAGTTATTAATCAGCCCAACCTGTTCATGCAAACAGGCAGATGTTTGTGTGGTTAGTAAATTATACTTCTGCACGTGTTCTTTTAGCTTTGCTTTGTTGAAATTTATATTTTTTTAAAATCTGCTTTACATAAATTATTTGTGTTAATTTAACAATATTGTGAACTCAAAATTATCCGGAAGTGTATCTGTGGTTAGCTTAGCTCTCTTACCACTGTTTAGCCAAATTCCAGGAAAAACACTAGAGAACTAAGCCAGGGAGGTTGGTCCTAGGAATTGAGCAGGACAGTATGCTTTGTATTTAGTAGACATTTGTTAAGTAAATAGAATTTTCTAAATGCTTATGTGTGTATGCATTTTCTTCACTCACGTATTAGCATGGAAATAACCCTTGTCAAGAAATTAGCAGCAGTTACATTGCCATATATGCATTTATAGATAAGGTAATTCCTTTTAGGCTTTTTTCTTCATTCTATTCCTGGATTCTTTATTTTATAGAAAACCAGTATTCATTGAAAATATCAGGAAGGAAAACTTCATCCATTCATTTATTCAGCATTTTTCTGTGTTTGAATTTCAGCTGTACCATTAACTACCAGTGTGACCTTTAGTAAGTTCTTCAGTATTTTGTAGAATCATTTTTCTCATCTATAAACATTAAAAAACTCATAAGATGATTAGAAAATTTTGTGGGTGTATCTGTGTATATATATATCATAATGCCTGGCCCTGCACTGCCCTTTAGGATTTAAATAAATTATATTTCTGTCGTATTACATATGTTATAACTACTGTGTTTGGGACCAGGCTTACAGAGCTGAGTAAGAGAAAAGAAAATTATTTCAGATATTTATGTCTAACTTTGTTCTAGAAAGAATTAGAGTGCAATAATTATTTGTGTATAAAGAGATGAGGACTATAATAGATGTATATACAAAGTGGTCTAAGAGCATGGAATAGGTATTTTTTATTCATTCTTGAAATATTAGGTCTCTAAGTGGATTTAAAAAAAAAAATAAGGATTAGGAAGAGATGAGGGGAAGCTAATTTAGGGAAGAGAACAGTGGACTCTTCTCTTCGGCCTAGGGATAAGGAGATGCCAAGTGCTCAGACTGCCTCTGCTTTTGCCCTTCTGAGCAGGGTGATTTGCTGAAAACAGTTAAAAGGTTGCATTTATGTCTTTGGCATTTAGTATTCTAGTTCTAGAGTACTGTGTCCTGCAGGGTATCTACTAATGTAATTGGATCATAGAATGAAATATTTAGAAAAAACCTTAGAAATAGTTGCTTTAAGGGCACTAGGGTGGCTCAGTGGGTTAAACGTCCAACTCTTGATTTTGGCCCAGGTCATGATCTCAGAGTCGTGAGATCGAGTCCTGCATGGGGCTCAGTGCTCAGTACGGAGTCTGCTTGAGATTCTCTCTCTCCTTCTGCACCTCTCCTCGCTTACACATGCTCGCTCACTCGCTCTCGCTCTCTCAAATTAATAAAATCTTTTAAAAAAAGAAATGATTTTCATTTTACAAGTTTACCTCATTTTACAAATAAAGACAGTGAATTTTAAGGTTTCAGCTGGTGATAGTAGCTGAGCTACAGGTAGAGTCTAGATCTTACAGGTCCTCAGTAGTGTTCTTTCAGTACATTCCATTGTTTGTAGGAGGAGCCAGTACAAACTGAGTACTGCTCAACAAATGACCTCGAGAAAGAACAATCAAAGTGGTGTTTTGGTCTGAGAAAACAGAAATTGAGCTTGAGTTTGAAAAAATTGCAAATAACATGAATTCCTACTATTTGTCAGACCATAAATATCTTAAGAGTTTCCAAATCCAAAAAGTATATGTAAAACAGATGTTTGTAACCAAAATATCCCAGGATGAATACCACGGCCCTGCAGTGCAGCCAGTCAGCACTCCTGATTTTAGCAACTCGCGAAGTAGAGATGAGGACCGCGGTTGCACTGGGAAGAGCACGGTAATGATACTTTTTGGTGGGTTTGGAGGGGGGCGGTTATTCTGAGGATATTTTAAGAAATGGACCACAGAATAACTAATAGAACTCTATTCTAGAAGAAAAAATTTCTGCTATTCATGTTTTTTAGTTTATTTTCTTTGATGGATGTTTCACAGTAATTTCTGGCTTTTACATTAGCATTGTGTATTCTGAGCACATTATTTAACTTATCTGTATATTCTTGAGTATAAAATAGGATTTATAATACCCTTTAAATTCTCAGGAAAATGACCACTGTTAGAAGAGTTTTTGCTGTTTTCCAGAATATCTATATCATTTTGTCTTTATCCACAAGGGCTGCTGGTACTAGTTAACATATACCCTCTAGTATCACATTCCTCTTTCCCTGACAGTTTCATTCTGAAGTTTTAAGAAAAGAATAAAGAAGAATTACGCAAACACTAGGACACCCGCGTGGCTCAGTCGTTGGGTGTCTGCCTTCTCCTCAGGTCATGATCACAGGCTCCTGGGATTCAGCCCCACATCGGGCTCCCTGCTGAGCAAGGAGCCTGCTTCTCTCTCTCCCACTCCCCCTGCTTGTGTTCCCTCTCTCACTGTGTCTCTGCCAAATAAATAAATAAAATCTTCCCAAAAAATTAAAAAAAGAAATACACAAAATTTACTTTCTGTCACTCTATGTAGCTTTTGTTCCATCTCTGAGAGTCCCTTTCTGTCCCCTGCTAATGTGTATATACTACCACTTCCTTTTTTTCTAAATGGCAGTCACTTCTCAAGAGGTGACCGTTACTCAGTAACAGAATTTGTGGGAATGGAGATCAAACACTTTGAGCAAGGAGTAATAGACACATACTGTGGATTAATACATGTATACATGATGCTGTAGTGAGAGAGAATGAGCAATGGTATTATGATACATGCTGGATAGATAGGCTTTCCCTTTGGACTTCAGGTTTTGAGTTTCCATACCTTGGTCCTAGAGACGGATCACATATTTGCCATTGCATGAGCTCTGCTTGCTCTTTTATGCTGTAGCACATCCCTATGAGCTAAACTTCAAGATTTTCCAGGAAGCTTATTAATTGAGCATTTGAGACAGTCCTAGGTTTGAATTTCAGGTGTGCTATATACTAACATTTTGACTGTTGGTGAGTTACTCAATATTTTTGAGCTTCCTTTTTCTTCATCTATAAATATTACCAACCTCATAAGATTGTTAGAATTAGATAAGATGAAATTTTGTATATGACCTAATATAAGATCTCTTGCACTGCCCTGTGAGATGCAAATGAAAAGTAATTCTTGTGGTGTTACATATTTATAACGAACACTAGGAATTCTTAAAATAAGTGGATAGGGATCCTCAATCTCCATCTTTTTAACAGTCTTAAAGTGATTCTGATACCAGTCTTTCATGGACCACACCTTAAAAAACCTTCCCTGCGGGGTTACCTGAATGTGCATTGTATCTTCTGACGGCCAAATTTTGGGTTGTCCCTTGATCAAGGGATACCATTATAGATCACTACATGGATTTAGTAAATTGCATTGTACATGGTCTCTCACTGAAGTTGCAGTTTAGGTGACAGAGGCAGGCAAATATTTCAATAGAGAATACAGTGTGGTAAGTATTCTGATAGAATCGTGCACTTTAGTAACAGAAAGGAACAGCAGGGATGGAGATGGCAATAGCTTATTTTAGGATAAGTGATTCCAGAATCGATTCTTAAAGGGTGAGTGGGGATTAGACCACTACTTCAAGAATGACTGCTGTATTTCTAGCTTAGTGATTGGTTAGCAGGGAATATGTTTGAAGGGTAGGAGAAGATAACAATGTGTGGCCTTACAGCAGCTGTGTTTAGAAGTCTGAAATTTAAGGCTGGTTGGTATATATTAACATAGGTATAGTTCCTGGAAGAAGTAGAGAAGAAAAGGAAAAAAGGAGAGAGAGATGCTAACTTACGCTATTTAGTAACAATCATCATGTGCTTCCTGTTTTCTTTTAATTTAACCTTTCTATGGTTCAGTGAGAATGATACGAGGTGTGATGTGATTTATAGTAAGAAATATATATTGGGTCTTGTCCCCCATTTCTGGCACAGAACCAAAACCCTTCAATTTCCTAAGTGCTGAGAGGTGGGAAGTGTCTTTTGTTATGTTAATGGATTCCTTTGGCAACTCACCTAAGGGTGGGGACTGCTTCCCTGCCTAGCCAATCACATGGTTAGAGGGTTAGAACTGTCATTCCTACTACTCTCTGACATTTGGGAAGAGCAGAGGGGCTGGAAATTTGAGTTCAGTCACCAGTTGCCAATGATTTGATCATCAAAGCTATGTAATGAAGCCTCCATTAAAAACAAGAAAGACAAGATTCAGTGAGGCTTCCAGGTTGGTGGACATGTGGAGATTTGGGGAGAGGGGCAGGCTCACAGAGGAATTAGGAGTTCTCTGTCCTTTCCACATACCTTGCCCTGTGCATCTCTTCCCTCTGGCTCTTCCCTAGTTCTACATCCTTTTATAATAAACCAGTAATCTGGGAAGTAAATTATGCTCTGAGTTTTATGAACTACTCTAGCAAGTTCATCAAACCCAAAGAAGGAGGGGATCGTGGGAACCTAGATTTACAGCCGGTTGGTCAGAAGTGTAGGTAACAGCCTGGGCTTTCGACTGATGTCTGGGGGTTGGGGGGAAGCAGTCCCTTAAGACTGAACTCTTAACCTCTGGGAACCAACCAGTGCTACCTCAGGGTAGACAATATCAGAATTGAGCTGAATTGTAGGACATCCTGCTTGTGTCCGGAGAATTGCTTATTGGTGGGGGAAACCCACCCATCTCTCTCTATCTCTCTCCAGGAACCAAAAACAACAGGTCACTGTAACATGAAAGTTAAACCTTTAGAAACTGCTTCTCATGAGAATTTGCCTTTATCTAGTTTACTGTTTCCAGCTGCAAAAAATATTGATACTGTAAAATCCTCTTATGGGACATTTTGATTAGGAAAACAAAAGTATATGAGAGGGAACACTGTGAAAGAATACTGTTTTTTTTTTTAAGCAAACATTTTTTTTATTGTCAAAATGAGAAAAGAAAAATGTGTGAAGAACAAAGAATATATAGATGCAGACTTCTTTTTTTAAAGATTTTATTTATTTATTTAACCGAGAGAGAGAGAGAGATCCCAAGTAGGCAGAGAGACAGGCAGACAGAAAGGGGAAAGCAGGCTCCCTGCTGAGCAGAGAGCCCGATGCAGGGCTCGATCCCAGGACCCTGAGACCATGACCTGAGCCGAAGGTAGAGGCTTACCCCACTGAGCCACCCAGGCGCCCTCAGATGCAGACTTTTTAAGCTGTTTTGTAATAACAAAATTAATAAATTGTAAGCTTGTTAAAATAGGGGTTGGGGCACCTGGATGGCTCAGTCGGTAAAGTGTCAGACTTCAGCTCAGATTATGATCACAGGGTCCCCAGATCAAGGCCTACCTCTGCCTCCTTGCTCAGCAGGGAGTCTGCTTCTTCCTCTGTCCCTCTCCCACTTGTTTTTGAACTCAGGTGCTCTCAAATAAAATCTTTTTTAAAAAAAGAGAATAGGAACTATTTCTGTATTTCCTTGATACTTGTTAAGGGTGCTTAAAATACTAAATAATAGTAAATATCAGTAGTAGTATCAATCTGCGTTGTTACCGGAGTTGGTGAGAAATTTTGGAAATATTGTCAGGGATGCAGAAAGAATTCATTTTCTTTATTCTTTCCGCTGTGATTTCCTAAAAGGATTACAAATGATTACTTCTGTTTGAAGCTTTGTCAACTGCTTTTCAGTTATAAAATTTCTTGCTTGTGCACTGAAAGTATGTGTGGGTATACTTTTTTTTTCTTGTGTAAAGAAAATAAGGAAACTGTTGATTTGTTGCTACAAACTAATTAGTTGGTTTTTGTTGTCACAAGCTAATTTAGCTTACTGTTTATCCCTAGTATCACTTAAGATTATCATATATCATTGTTATGCAAGAATACCTAAATATTGCATGCATAAAATATTGTTATGAGGGATTACTTAAATGTAAGGTTATATTGGAATACAAAATCATCACGTTTTAAAAGTTAATTTTGTCAGATGCTTGGGTGGCTCAGTCGGGTAAATCATCTCATTCTTGATCTCAGTTCAGGTCTTGATTTCAGGGTCATGAGTTAAAGCCCCATGTTGGGCTCCACGCCCAACTTTAAATATACTTTCAAGTTTTACTTTAAAATAAAAGTTTATTGTGTCTAGTGTTATTGTTTATGTACCTAGGTGTATTTTATAGTGTTATGACTGATTAGGTAATTGTAAATTACTCTTATTCCCTTTGACGTTTCCTTTATTTTTTCTACCATTACTGTTTCTCCTAATGCCTAGTTTTTCCTTTTTTAGTAATCTGTTCCAAAGTACTGACTTTATAGTTTCTCTAGCAATTTTCCAATAGATTTATTTGTTATTAAATGATCACTGACTTTATCTTAGGTTAAAGCATTAAAATTTTTTTACTAGGGAAAAAATATCTCCTTTTAGGGAGATTCACACAAAATAAGTTTGATTTCAAAAGATAGTAACGTACTTAAATTCAGATTTAAAATGTATACCTATGGGTTAGAGCAAAGTATGTAAGGACTGAGCACTAACTGAAATATTTTTATTTTCTCAAATGCTAAAATTTTGCTCAGTTGGTTACAGCTTGCAAAATAAATCAGGCATCTCTTAAAGACTAAGAAATTTTCCTGAGACATGCTCTGTTAACAAATATGGATGGTATCTAATTTAATATTTTTATAATTAATTTATGTCAAGATGTCACTGAAACTACATTAGGAATTTTTTCCTTTTCCCCTTGTCTCTCTGAACATGTATCACTAATGTTTGGGTTTTGTTTTTTTTTTTTTTTTTTCTTTTTTTTTTATGAAAAGTGACTATTATTTGTTAGTGCTTTTATATTTTGGAAAGCACTGTTAATGTGCTTTATCCTCTCAGACAAAATTTGCATTTACTTATTACAGATATCAATTAAAAGCCTCATATTAAACTTCTTTCCCCAGTGCCCAGGACTTTGTAAATTTAACCTTCTCTTTGGAGGCTCTATATATTTTAGAAATTGCTTCAATAATGTGTTTTCTTTGTAGAAGGTATTTGATGTAATACCACTGTCTTTGAAATCAGCTATGCTCTTCCAGAACTAAAAAAACTTTATGTACTACTTTCACTTTTACTTATGTACTACTTTTTACTTTTTGTAAAACTGTTAGTACTTTATGTACTAAAAAATTATGTACTTACGAATCTTTCCCTCTTTAAAAAAAATCACTAACTGAAATAAAACACGTATTATAAAATTATTATGAAATAAACATTATGTTTATTAGTTTGAGATAAATTTTGAAATTAACTAGTAAGACATACCCATGAAAGTTTAAATTTTTAACTTTTAAAAGTAGAGCATTAAAAAGGATTGTTTACTAAGCAATAACTTCATGGGAGAAATTTGAGAAAGAAAGCATAAGTCATACCTTGTCATCCCCTTTCTGTTGTCCACAGTCCAGATTTTGCATTGATTACCTGATGAGTATATAATTTTAGTCAGGGTCTAAGACAGAAATTTAGTCAACTCTAAAGCAGATTCTGCTGGTTTTGGATCTTTAAATGCTTTTGTTACCTATAATCATTCTTACTTTGAAAAATCACTCTTACGGTAAAATCTTTCCTTTCTATAGAGAGAAATAGCTCGAAAACTTGCAAATCCTAAGCAGCCAACAAATCCTTTTCTAGAGATGGTCAAATTTCTGTTGGAAAGAATTGCACCTGTGCACATTGATTCAGAAGCCATAAGGTAAGCTAGGAAATATATTCACTCAAAAATAGAACATAATCTGAAACCACAGTGTTATAAGTTTGAATTCTGGGTCCCTAAGAAAACCTAAAAGTTCCCCTGTAAGCCTTTTTAATGGCAGAAGCATGTATTATTGAAGGTGAAAGAAGGGCCTGCTTGTTTTCTGGTCATTGGCTTACTTCAGTGCTTTTTTATTTTTTAAGGGTTCTTATCTTTAGCCTGTATGTGCTCATTAAAGAAAACCTAGAACATCAAGAATGGAGAAAGAAGAAAATTTTGTATCTGTAGGCTATCAATCAGTCTTTGAGTTTTCTTAACCATTTTGATGGCCACACAACATTCCTTTAATATATATCACTGTTAACTTGAAATACATGAAAACAATAGTATTTTGAAAAGAGCACAAGTTCCCCTTAGACTAATCTGGTTTTATAACCGGTGTCTACTGCATACCAGTTTTGTGGCTTTGGAAGAAGCCCAGTAATTTATCTGAGTTTTCATTTTATTTTTAACTCCAATATGTTTGTCATAGCTCCCTGTTGGATGATTATGAGAATCAGAGATAACATGTAACACTAAGCAGCCTGGCATAATAGATACGCTATACGTCTTCGTTTTCGCGTTGGGTTATTACAAAGCACTTAACTGGTTCTCTCTCCCTCTTGGTTTGGTTTGGTTTGGTTTTATTGGTTCTCTTTTTAAACAGCCTTGGATTAGAGGAGCTGGTTCTAGCTATTAGTTATTTGATGATATGTGAACTACCGCTTTTGTTGTATTGAAATGCCAGTTGTTTTGACTTTCTAGGGCCGCCATAACAAAATACCACAAACTGGGTGACTTAAACAACAGAAATTAATTTTCTCACAGTTTGGAGGCTCGAAGTCCAAAATAGAGGTGTCAGCAAGTTTTATTTCTTCTGAAGCCTCTCTCCTTGACTTGCAGATGGCCTCTTTTTTTCGGTCTCCTCACAAGGTCTCACATTGTCTGTGTTCTAATCTTTTCTTCCTATAAGGACTATAGTCATATTGGATAGTGCTCCACACATTTCACTTCATTTTTTTTATTATATCTTTTAAGGCCGTTGTTCCAAGTATAATCACATCAGGTACTGGAGGTTAGACTTCAACAGTACACAATTCAGCTAATGACAGCAATGTTTGTCTTTTTTCTCTTTAACTGATAATTCCTTTTTATTCAATTTTCTTACTTGTGAATAAAACTAAGGATTTTAGAGAGTAAGTGGTTTGTTCACAGCTGGGTAATGACAAAAACCGTAGATTTATTTGTTTATTTTTCCAAAGGATGGAAGTAATTTTTAATTTTTTTTATTTGGGTCTACTTCAAAACACAATGTTACATTAGTTTCAGCTGTATGACATAGTGATTGAACATCTCTATATCAATGGCTCACCACAGATATAGCTCCCATGTATCACCATACAATGATATTGTATGTACATGAACTATATTATATATTCTGTACTTTTTATTCCCATGACTTATTCCATAACTAGAAGCCTATATCTCCCATTCCTCTTCACTCATTTTGCCCATCCCTCCATCCATCTTCCCTCTGACAGCCATCAGTTCTCTGTATTTATAGGTCTGATTCTGCTTTTTGTTTATTTTTTTTCCTTAGATTCCGCATATTGGTAAATCATATGGTATTTGTCTTTCTCAGTCTGACTTATTTCACTTAGCATAATACCCTCTAGGTCCATCCCTGTTGTTGCAAATGACAAGACCTTGTCTCTTTTTATGGCTGCATAACATTCCACTGTGTGTGTGTGTGTGTGTGTGTGTGTGTGTGTATCCATTCATCTTTCAGTGGACATTTAGGTTGTTTCCATATCTTAGCTATTATAAATAATTCTGCAGTAAACAAAAGGGTGCATATATCTTTTCAAATTAGTGTTTTTATTTTCTTTGGGTAAATACCCAGTAGTGGAATTATTGGATCATATGGTATTTCTATTTTTAATTTTTTGAGGAAACTCCATACTGTTTTCTACAGTGGCCATACCATTTACATTCCCACCAGATTTATTATTTTGATGTCAGTGTCCTTTGTTCTATGCTGTTTAATTCTAATGGGGTAAATCAAGGATGTAATACATGTAAGTAGTACTTTTGTCTTTGTGTATTGACTGTGAAAGAGACATATAAGGGCATTTGCTGTTTGTTTCCATGAAGCTTCATAGGGTTTCATTACTTTTGTAAATTATAAGCTAGTGGTTAATTTCTAGTCTTAAAAGACCAAAAATTCGGTTTTTTCAGTAACATCATAGGTGTTTAGGCTCAGAGAAATCAACTTAGGGTTTCTGAGAGACTAATTTTATGCAAAATTCCAATTTATTAATTTTAATGAGAAATATATATGTCATATGATATTTCTGTGTAACCAAATCTTCATGGGCTATTAAATTACAAATAGATGGTTTACTTATTCACGTAACATATATTTAATGGAGCAGTTTATAAAATACATTGGGTAAACTGGAGAAGGATAGTTAGATAACCCAAATTGTGTGGGATAGATTTGTTGTTAGAGAAGGCTCTGAAATAGGTCACACATAAATGGGTAATGAAAGATCAGTAGGTATTAGGGAGGGTAGCCAGGTAAAGATTGCAGGGGAAGAGCAGCCCAGGCCACTAGCCCTTGTGTCCTTGGGTAGATTATTTAAGCTGCTCTGAGCTTTAATTTTCTTACCTTTAAAATAATAATACATTACAGTAACAACTGGAATTGTTGAGAGGCGTAAAATGACATAGATATATAAACTACTTAGCACAATATCTCACACATCGTAATTACTAAATGAACAGTAGTAACTATTCTAGGAAGAAAAATTAGACAAAACAAAGGCAGAAGGAATCAAGAAGTAGTTAGAAAATTGCATGTACTTTTAACCATAAGGAAGGAATTTGGAAGAAAGGAATGAGGATAGTAGAAAATCATCCTAAATATAACCAATTTTTCTTTAGCATATTTTCTCCAGATTTGTGTTTATACAAATACACATATGCATGGTCCAGTTAGTTATTTGTCTTTAGATAATGGTTGAGAGTGAAGTAGTGATTGCAGTAATGGTTGAAACCTCAGGGAGAGGGTAAATTTTAAAAAGAAAAAGGGGAGGACTGAATCCTAAGGAAAATTAAGAGGCTGGCAGAAGATAAGAAATTCATCAAATTCTTAGAAATTTTTAACGACGTGGTATGATGACAGGTGGTAACTAGATTTACTGTGGTGACCACTTCATAACGTTTATAAATTCCAAATCATTATGCTTTATACCTGAAACTTATATAATATCATATGACAGTTCTTCAATTAAAAAAAAATTTTTAAGGAGGCATGGTCAACAGTGGAAGAAAAATTGGAAAAGAGTGATAACAAAAAAGACTAGGGGCACGTGGGTGGCTCAGTGGGTTGAGGCCTCTGCTTTCGGCTCAGGTCATGATCTCAGGGTCCTGGGATCGAGCTCCATATATATCTCTCTGCTCAGCAGGGAGCCTGCTTCCTCCTCTCTCTTTGCCTGCCTCTCTGCCTACTTGTGATCTTTGTCTGTCAAATAAAAAAAAAAAATCTTTAAAAAAAAAAAAAAAAAGACAGACTAAAAGGTGGAGGGGTCAGATGCTACCCAGAAGTTAGATACTAAAAAGCATCCATTGGATTTAGAAAAGGGAAAAACATCACAATGGCCAGATTAGTTTCTTTGGGGGAGAAAGGGCAAACCCAGATGACTCAGCTATTGAGAAGAGCTTAGGATAGTCCTTCTCAACATCCACATCATGATACACAGAGAAAATGATAATATTTGAGATATTAATATTGGAGACTGCCCAAGCTCAGAGGCAACTGGCCTGACTCAACAGGATCCCAGTAGGTTCCACTTAGCAACCTTTAGGTATAAGAAAATCAAAGGGGATAAAGACCTTGTCACACTTTGAAACTCTGCTTTAGGAGATAAATAGGGATGTGGGACAGCCACTGTGGACAGTTCAGCTATAAAAAGTAAAGGAGAAAAATGAGATGATGGGAAGGGAGTGAACTTGAAGAAGGGTCTTTTGTTGTTTTTAATGAAGGAATTTTGAATATTGAAATACCTTTGAGGGGTACTAATAGAAAAGAAGAGAGATTGAAGATGGAGAAAGGGGAATGGAATAGAATTATAGAGTAGAATAGAATATAGAATGTTCTGTAGAATAGAATAGAATTATGATAGTGCAGCATCCCTAAAGAAGAGGAACAGGAAGAAGGAAATCTTCACCTATGACTTGAAAAAAATAATAGATACAAATTAGAGGAAGTTAGAAGGTAGGGGTATAGAAAACTGGTTTTCACTCAGGGCCTCCATTATTCTCTATTAGGTTAAAGGTAAAGTAGGTAGTCTGCTCAGTGGAAGGATTTAGACCTGAGGTAAAATGGTGAAGATTTGTATCCATTGTTATACAGCATAGAAGAGAAAGAGACACATAGATTTCCCAAGCAGTTTTGAACATGTACTCGAATTGGTAATAATCTTTTGCTGCATGATACCCCTGTGAAGTATATGGAGTATGTATTATTTCTCTAATTTAGAAATAAAAGTACTTTAATAAGAGAAAGGACTATAGTCCTGGTTTCAAGACTTAACAGCTCGACTCATAATGGTGATCAGCCCACATTATAATGAAAAAAGATTATGCCTGTCTTGTTTTCACTATATTTTCAGGACAGATGCTAAGACTTGGCACGTAATAGGTAGTCAGTAAAACTTACTAAATAAATGCATGGCTGACCTCTTACAAATAATCAGATACATTTATAAAAATTTTAAAACACATTTATAATCTTGTTAAATACATGTATCATTTATAGCATTTCCTCCTAACAAAGTTTAATTCAGAGTATTTTTCTCAAATTAAAAATAACTTTTTAAAACTACATAATGTCAGAGCTAATAAAACTTTTAAAATAAAGTATGGGGTGAACAAGATCTCTTAAATGGGACATAAAAAGCACAAGCAGTGAAAGAAAATTAAATACTTTCTCCTTTTTGCAAGACACCATTATGAGAAAGAAAAGCGAAGCTACAGAGTGGAAGAAAAGACTTGCAAAGTATATATCTGATAAAAGATTATATCCAGAATATAAAAAGTATTCTTACTACTCAGTAAGACAAACGATACAATTTAAAAATGGACAGAAGATTTGAACAGACTTCACCAAGTAAGGTAGACAAATAGGAAATAAGTACAGGAAAAGACAGTGAACATTATTCCTCATTAGAGAAATATAAATCTGGATTACAGTGAGAAATAACACTGTACAACCATTTGAATGGCTAAAATTAAAGATAACTGTCCATACCAAGTGTTGATGATACAGGAGACAGTTTTAACCTTAAGTAGACATATAATGTTACCATATGACTCAGGAATCCCAATACTAGATACTGCTTACAAGAAAAAAAAGCATAAATTGCCATAAGTACATATGCATAATTGCATATAGCAGCTTTATTTTTATCTTTAAACTAGGAATACCTAACGTCCATCTATTGGTAATTAGATAATCATACTGTGATACATCCATACAATACTTTTCAGCAGTAGAAAGGAATAAACTGCTGATTCTACTCAACAACATGAAGGAATATCAAAAGAATTATGTCACATAAAAAATGTCAGACACAAAATAAATGGAATTTTAGAAGTGGTAAAATTATAGTGACAGAAACTAGATCAGTGATTGCCAGCATGGAAGAAAGAGATTGATTGACCACATAAGGGGACATAAAGCAGTTTTTTTGTGCAGAGGTGGGAATATGTGTGTGTGCGTACACACAATGAAACACCACTTTACACCCACTAGTATGGCTGTAATCAAAAAGAGGAGTTGGAAAAGATGCGAAAAAATTGTTAGCCTCATATATTGCCCATGGGAATGTAAAACGATAGAGCGGCTTTGGAAAACAGTTTGGCAGTTCGTCAAAAAGATAAAACATAGAAAGTTACTATAGCTACCAGCAGTTCCACTGCTGGATATATGACCAAGAGAAATGAAAATTATGCCCATACCTGTATATGAATGTTTATAGCAACATTATTCATAATAGCCAAAAAAGTGGAAACAACCCAAATGTCTATCAATTGATGAATGGGTAAATTATCTTATATTCATATACTGGGAGGGTATTCAGGATTAAAGTGAATGAAATACTGATGCATACTACAGCATGGAAAAACCTTAAGAACAGTTCGCTAAGTGAAAGGAGTCACAGAAGACCATATATTGTATTTTATTTATACGAAATATTCCGAGTCGGCAAATGTATGGCAGCGGAAGGTAGATTAGTAGATGACTAGAGCTAGAGGAGGTACAAGTGCATAGCGGTGACTCCTGTTGGAAAAGAGTTTTTTTGGGGGGATGGGAAGAAATCTAAAATTAGATTGTGGTAATAGTTATACGACCCTATGACTATACACTAAAAACCACTGAATTACACATTTTAAATAGGTGAATTATATGATAAATTATATTTCAGGCTAATGTTTACACACCTCCCTAATTTGTTTTCTCAAAAAAAATTTTTATTAATTGAAGATACTTAAGGTTTTTAAATTATTCTTGTGATGTAAAAAAGGAAACAAAAGTACCAAAAGTGTTTTAAATTGTATAGATGATGCATCTGTGCATCTTATATATTTTGTACTTAAAATTTTTTAAATAATTTAAAATATGCATTTTATTTTACACATATTTCCAAAGGAAAAATTTTAACCTAAAACTTTTATCATTAGCTTCCATTTGTTAAATATTTGCTATGTACTAGGCTATTTGCTGTAATATTTAATGTCCTTCAAAATACGGTAGTATTATCTTCAGTTTGAGGACGCAGTCTCAAAACTAAAAATCACATCTCCTTTTACTTAAAATAGTACCATGTTGCTACAAGCCTGATTTTTATCGACCAAGTAATATTGCTTTGTGGTGGTTAGGTATGTTTGAAAAACTAATTCCATAATGTTGGACAATTAAGTGGTTTTTTTGAATTTTTATTTAAATTCTAGTTAGTTAACATACAGGCAGTACCGGTTTCCGGAGTAGAATTTAGTGACTCCTGGCTTACATACAACATCAGGTGCTCATCACAAGTGGCCACCTTATCCCCATCATCCTGCCCATCTTCCACCCACCTTCCTCATCAACCCTGAGTGTGTTCTTTATTGTTAAAAGTCTCTTACGGTTTGTCTCCCTCTCTTTCTTTTTTTTCTTTTCCCTTCACATATGTTCATCTGTTTTGTTTGTTAAGTTCTACGTATGAATGAAATCATATGGTATTTGTCTTTCTGATTTATTTCACTTAGCATAATACACCCTAGTTCCATCAACATCATTATAAATGGCAAGATTTCATTCTTTTGATGGCTGAGTAATACTCTGTGTTATATATGTACCACCTCTTAATCCGTTCTCCCGCGGATGGACATATGGGCTCTCTTCACAGTTGGGCTGTTGTTGATAATGCTGCTTATAAACATCAAGGTGCAGGTGCCCCTTAGAGTCTGTATTTTTGTAACTAAATGGTTTTTAATTGATGGGCCTATTTATGAATATAACATGCTTTTGATGAACTGCTTCTTTGCTCTGAGTTTCTAGGAATGTAATTACTGATTTGGTAAATTAATTATTGGATTAATGTAAACATCTTTGTCAACATTTTGCTTTGAGTGAATTGTCATTTGCTCATTTAGCAACAGCATCTGCTGTTTTTCCTAAGACCGTAAATGATACCTTTACATATAGAAATCAATATTAACTTAAATTATATTTCCAGTATGTGTCCTTTAATTTCAGTTGTGTTGGTTTGCAGTAGAGTTACACATGGAGTTTGGGAGGTGGTATGGGGAGAGAAACTAAAAAAATAAGCTCAGCTGTCAAAAAGGGAGCAAAGTTTAAGAAGTTACAAAATAACTTTTACCTCCAGGAGCATGTTTGTATCTGATGTTTAGATTCCATGTGTATTCTGCCACAAAGCAATTAGATACAGTTACTAATCTAGTAAGGTTACTAATTTAGAGTTTTCTCGTTTTAATAGTGCACTGGTAAAACTGATGAATAAATCAATAGAGGGGACAGCAGATGATGAAGAGGAGGGTGTAAGTCCAGATACAGCTATTCGTTCAGGACTTGAGCTTCTTAAGGTACTTTTGAGATAATTTTGTCTCCATGCCTTTCTAGTTTTAATTTGAACTCCCTTAAGGATATGCAAAAAAGAGAAAGTATATGCAAGGGTTGAGCTTTATTTCACTGGAAACTATTTGAAAGATTAAACATTTGTGGTAGAAATCATAGTTTATAAAAACAGTATATTTATTTTACATTATAATAATGTAATTGTTTTACATTATAAAATAATAATTTGGGGGGTTTGCAGTTTCATTCATCATTTGCATACCTGTATTTAATAGCACGTGCTTGTAACAGTATGTTCTAAAGAATCCAGTCTTACCTTTCATCTGTACTAGTAGGAATATGTTCGCGGGAATTACATGATAGCATCTGTCTGATCAAGGAATTTTTAAACAATTTCTAATAATATTTATATTCTTATGCCAAATAATTCAGAGAATAGAGCAATTAATAAGAGCCTGGTCAAACAAGACTTTATGGACAAGGTATGACTTAATCTAGGGGAAACACAGCACAAAGAAACACAAGAAAATAATTCTTGGCATACTTTAGGAACTGTTGGGAGTCTAGTTATGCAGAGAAAAGGATTGCTTTGAGGAGTAACAGGAAACAAGGTTGGTTTTAGATTGTGAAATGCTGATGGAGCAGAAAGGTATTATCAGGGTTTTTTATTCTGTCTTTTAATATTATAACAGAACTTGACAGAGCTTTCATCAGATGGAGTAAAGAGGAGAGGAACTTGAAGGCAAAGAAACATTTAGATCACTACAATATACAAGCTAAGTGAGAAAAGACAAATCAGTGCAGTGAACATGAGATAGAAAAGAGAGTGATGGGATTGTATTAGAACAGTCTTAAACATAATTTCATGGAAAAAATTTATATGCTTAGCATGAAAAATTCTAATTATATTTTTAATGATGAGGTTACATTTTTAAAGTAATTTTAAGAATGAAATCTTTAAGATAAACATTTTTAATAGGTTGCTTCAGTTTTTCAAATTTGATTCTCCCATTTTTTTTTCTAAGTAAAACTTACAGGGTTTTATATTATCAATTTATTAACATGTCAACATATTATCTAGGTATTGTCAACAAGGACCTAACCAAATGAGACCATCTCTTTACTTTATAACTGAGTAAATAAGTGCTTATTGAATAAGTTAATGAAGACTATATACTCCATCCTCTGCACCCCACTTTTCCACTTTTAGCCTTTATTCCTGATATTATGCTAACTAAATTGTTTCCACTTCATGGAAAGTAAACTTTGCAGATACGTTATGTCTAACTTGCTGTACATTCCTTTGGGATACACTGGAACTTATGTAGAAATAAATAAGGCAGTAATTACTTATGTTTGTAATCATGATGAAAGTTCACAATTATGGCTTGCTTATAGTTCCACGCAGTGAACTTTTTGTAATGGATTCCGCTTAAAATATCCTTTATAAAGTATGTTTTTGCCAGCGAAGTAAAGCTTTGTGTTAACATTTTGTTCACATCACAGTATCATAGTCCATAAAAAAGAAGCCACGTTTTCTGCATTCCCAGTATCAGAATAGACTGAGGGGAAGAGAAAATAGGGCAAGGGCTATAAATCAGCTCTCTTAAGGAATCTAATGCATTATATTTCTGCTAATGTCTTATTAAATGCAACATATTTTAAAGGAAGCTATGAAATAAAATCTTTATTCTATATAGCTAGCATATACAGCCCAGTATTTTGAATTGTATTTATAGTAGAAAATAATTACCTTCTTTTAATGGATTAAAACCATTGTTTATACTTCTAAAGTTGTATCTGTTCCTCCAGGTTCTGTCTTTCACACATCCTACCTCGTTCCACTCTGCAGAGACATATGAGTCCCTGTTACAGTGCCTCAGAATGGAAGATGACAAGGTAGCAGAAGCTGCTATACAAATTTTTAGAAATACAGGCCACAAAATAGAAACAGACCTACCCCAGATACGATCGTGAGTATATTTTTTCTCATGGTAAACACAAAGGGGTTTTTTGTTTTGTTTTGTTTTTTAACACAAATTTTTTTAAGTGTGGGAGCCATGCAGTTTTCCCTTTCATGGAGGGAGATAGGAGAGAGGAAAGTGAACTTTACTTAGAAGCTACTTGTCTGGGGGCAACTAGGTGACTCAGTTAGTAGAACATCTAACTCTTAAACTCAGGGTCATGACTTCAAGCCCCCCACATTGGGCCTGGAGCCTCCTTAAAAAACAAAACAAAAAAAACTACTTCTCCGTATCCTTTGTTCTATCTTTTCTCTGCCTCATGTTACTCCTCTACCATTAAAAGACCAAACTGAAGAAGAAATTAGGCAGAACAAACTGAAACCTTGTTTATAACAAGATTATTTTTAAATATTAATATTCAGGAGTTTTCACAGAATTTCAAGTTTCTGGTTAATATATCTTCCTTATCTGTATATATTCATTTTTTTTCCCCTCTAGCTAGTTTAAATTAAAAGCTGCTACCTTCATGTCTCACCAGAGAATGGGATAATCAAGTAGTGTGCTTAATAGCATATCTTATTAGTTGCTTGGTTGTTGGCAGTGGTCTTTTATAGTTTTGATCTCTCCCTCAAGCTTACCTTTCCCCTTTCATCATAAGAATGAAATACATTTTGATATTTTTGCTTTGGCATCTTAAAGAGGTTGCCTTAGGATCAAACTTGTGCTCAGAGTTTATATTTAGACAAAAGATGTGGGAGATGTCTTTTGGAGGAAAAACACATTGCTGATAGCTGTTGAATCACATGTTCAGGGTATATGCAAATAGTTACGGATATATCCAAATCAAACCAGTTTTTCCTTACAGGATAATAATAGGATAAGAGGACTCCTGACTCCTAGTTTTTATTAAATTTGTGAGCTATTAGTTTCATTTGAGAAAAAAATCAATATTTTGTATATCCTCTTCATTCTCAGAACTGTACTGGCTAATAATAAAGAATTATCACAGTCAATCTCTGTTCTCAAGGAGTTTATAGTCTAGGGAGAATAATCTTTATATTTGTACATTGAGAAAAAAAATTTCACAGTAGGATAAAGTTTCTGGTGAGTTTTTAACAAGGTTGGGAAGCCTTTTTTAAGGTAAAGGATTTATTCGTAAAGGAATTCTATCCCAAATGAAGCAGTGGAAAAATGGGGATAGATAGAATAGTTAATTTTGGACACAAGGAATAAAACCTCTTAATCTTTTTTTTTTTTTTAAAGATTTTATTTATTTATATGACAGAGCACAAGTAGGCAGAGCGGCAGGCAGAGGGAGAGGAAGAAGCAGGCTCCCCACTGAGCAGAGAGCCCAACTAGGGGCTCCATCCCTGAGCCGAAAGCAGATGCTTAACCACTGAGCCACCCAGGCACCCCAAAACCTCTTATCCATAATACTAGTGAGGAAGGAAGGGGAGAATCATTGAAAAGCAGCGAAGCACAACAGTGCAGGCCTTAACAATAACCTTGATGTCATCATTAGATTATAGCACACTAGAATAACAAGGAAAAGGTTTAAAGTTGATATATGTATCCTCATTTCATTAGACTAAGAAGAATAAATAATACATTTAACAATAATTTGATCAGTGCTCTGTCTCCTTTTGTTACTTGTATTATAAAAATTGTTACTGGTAAATAAGGTTGTGAGAGACAGTACTCAGTTAAGGAGGCTACTTGGGCATAGAAATCCCTAATTTATCATTCTAAACCTGCATACAAAGAAATGTGGCATACTCAGAAATGTCAAATCCAACTTACACTGACTAGTATATGTTCCAGTTTTTTAGCTGAGGTGAATGACCTGGGATCTGGGGTATCACTCTTAATGTCTACCCTTCTGTTTTCATGAGAAGACCTTTTGTCACCATGGTATTTGACACCACTGACTTACAGTCTATAAAATAGGACCACTGCAGTAAATGAATGACAAGTATCTTTCCTTAAAATTTTTTTGCCTTAGGTAGATTTTCTTATGATTAAGAAAAAATACTTGTTTGTTCATTGTAAAAAAGGTGAAACTTCAGGAAATATAAAAGAGAAAGGGTCACTGTCAACAATTTGGCATCTTTTATGAGTATTTTATCTACTTGATGTGTATACCTGTTCTTTTATAAGTTGATATGCACATGCTGTTTTCTTCATACAGGGTTTCCCATATCATCAACTTTTAATGCTTAAGACTGTAATGTAAGACAATAAAGTACATATTGTCCTAAGGCAAGATTGTTTACTTTTGATCTTCAGTGTCAAAATGGAGGTTAAGTGCATGGATCTTAACAGAAGTACACATCTTCACATCCCCACCTCACCAGATCCTAGCTCCATCAACTTAAGAAACTTAAACAATATTTTTGTGCTTAGTTTTCATATCCGTTTAATAGTCCTCCTTGCGTGACTATGAGGATTAATAGACTTAATTCATGTAAAAACATTTAGAATGGTGCTTTACACAATTTCTCAGTAATCTTTAGATGCTTTTATTACTCCTCTACCAATATGTATATATATGTGTCATATCCTTGCATGCTTTGTTTCACTGGCATCATTTCAACTTTTTTTTTTTTTTTTTTTAGTTTTTTTTTTTTTTTTTGACAGAGAGAGATCACAAGTAGACGGAGAGGCAGGCAGAGAGAGAGAGAGAGAGAGAGAGGGAAGCAGGCTTCTTGCTGAGCAGAGAGCCCGACGCGGGACTCGATCCCAGGACCGTGGGATCATGACCTGAGCAGAAGGCAGCAGCTTAACCCACTGAGCCACCCAGGCGCCCCTCATTTCAACTTTTTAATAAAACTTGGCCTTTTGCTACTTTTTCCCATGACTACATTAAAATAATTGAAGGGGCTTATGAAAGGGGAATGGAAAATACAAAAGTATGGCATGGAGCAAATTTTAGATTATAAATTAAGGGTGGCTTGTTATTTCTCCATATTCATGAGGTAGCTTTAAAACAAAAGTTGTCCAAACAAAAAACAAAAATTGTCTCCTTTAAGTACCTTTTTCTTGAGACATTTTGTTTCTTGGATTATAATTAAGGACAGATAAGGGGCTTTAAATCTTTCTGTAGATGAGCTAATTTTTAAGGGAGTCTTCCTGGGGCATCTGGCTGGCTCATTTGGTGGAGAATTCAATCTCTCAGTCCTCAGGGTTGTGAGTTCGAGCTCCACGTTGGGTGTAGAGATTATGTAAATAAACTTAAGAAGAAGAAGAAGAAGAAACTTCTCTACCAACATACATCCAAACAGCTATGGGAAAGGAATTAGAGGAGACAACCAAAAAAACTACTTGTGGGCTTTTTTTATTTTAAACTGTGATTTTTTTTTTTTTTTTACAGGACCTTAATTCCCATTTTACATCAGAAAGCAAAGAGAGGTACTCCACACCAAGCAAAACAGGCTGTTCACTGTATACATGCCATATTCACAAATAAGGAAGTCCAGCTTGCACAGATTTTTGAGGTATATATAATACATAGGATGTGTTTATGTTGATTGTTATTTTTATGCTGTGTGGTTTGATGAAGATAGAAGGTAGTTTTTTTGGAGGAGGGGCTGTTTAGTCTTAAAAATTCTATGGGAGCGTGGGCTGTCTTTTTTGAGCACTGTATTCACAGCCTTTAGATCATAGTATATGTTCAAACACTACATACAGAAGAATATTCTGTGTGTTTATGTTAGAACATTTTACTTAGTTTTAGCTTTATTGGCTCAGTGGTATGTATCCTCAGAAAGTAACTTTGAACTACCCAGTTTTTAAAGTACCTGACAACCCTACCTGAAAATTAGTCCCGTTTGCCTTTCCTTATGTATGATCCTTGGCCTGATTCCACTACTGGAAAGGTACTCCTGTTACTTTAAACTGAACATTTATTTAATGGTCCATGGTTTTTAAAATGTCCCAAGTCCACCAGCATACCAAGGCTGTTATTATAGATGGCTTAAAAATAATGCTGATTTGATGATGCAGAAATGTTCTTGTTTTTACTTCTGCCTTTTATGTGTATTTTATTTTTTTCTTTCTTTTTTTTTCTGGATTCTTTCTTACCGAATTTCAGTAGTTCAAACAAGAATTGAGTGTCTGATATGGTTGAAGCTACTTTTGATCATATCATTAGAACAGCTTTGTTTGGGCACAACAAATTCAGGAGGGTCAGGAACATTTACTGTTTCCATAGAATGTCTGGATATTTATAAAACAAACTGGTAATTTTGACTCTTTCATTTTTATAGCCACTCAGTAGGAGTCTGAACGCTGATGTACCAGAACAACTTATAACTCCATTAGTTTCATTGGGCCACATTTCTATGTTAGCTCCAGATCAGTTTGCTTCCCCAATGAAATCTGTAGTAGCAAATTTTATTGTGAAAGATCTGCTAATGAACGACAGGGTAAGTTTCTAATTTAATTAAATTTAGAATAATGATACTAAAACTGTTTACATCTTTATCACAAAAACATTTCTGTGTCTATTTAATTTTCTTTTCCTCTTAAATTACTGTGTTTTCCCTCCTTATTTACTTAAATTTCCAAATGACATCCTGACTTCATGTAGCTATTACCAGAACGTAACATTTAAGAAAGAAAAAATGAGAACATAAGATGGATGAATCATGAAGCAAAAAATATAAGTCAAATGCTATTATCCTAACGTTTGAAGGACAATTTACTGGAGTGCTAGAATTTTATCAGATGTTGTTAAAAATATGAGTGGATTTGTATTTAACTAGTGTTTTGAAATATAATTACATTGCATTTTTGGCACTAGATACATATTCTGTTTTAGTTACTGAAGTGTGTGGGTAGGTGGTACATGCACCTGTGTGTGCCCACATGCTAATTTATTAAATCTGGGCTGGAGTCTGGGAATATATAGCTTGAAAAGGCACCCAGGTGATTCCTGAAACACACCTCTGATTAAGAATCACTACTTTAAAAAAAATATGTATCACTACTTTACCAAGTAGATCTAAATTAAAAAGTTGTTGAGTTAAGACAAATCAGTTTTACCTGCTGGATCATTGCAGATGACTTTGAGTGCAGTGCTAATTTATCCCAGCTTACCTGTTCCTTCCACATGACCCAGTAGTCTTGGAGCCTTCGATATCCAAACTTAAAAAGGACATTTGCCAATACATTCCATCCTCTTTCCCTTCCCCCATTTGGATGTAATAGACAAGAATGGAAGAGCATGGCCCAAGTGTCATTTCCCACTCAACACATTCAGGCTGTACTTTGCTCTATTGATAGATGTGAATGGCAATAAACGTGAAATTTAAGACACCTCTTAAGATGACTAGATTGTAGTTTACAATGGCTCTTTTTTGTTGTTTGTGTGGTAAAATATACATAATATAAACATTGGCGTTTTTGCCATTTTTAAGCGATGCCAACATTCTTGTTTTTGTTGTTGGGTGGGTGTTTTTTTTGGTTTGGTTTTTTAAAAAAATAAGAAAGTTTTATACCCTGTATGCCTCCTCTGTACATAGGAAATACCCAGGAAAGCCAAACAACTCTCCAAAATGACCCAAAGTACCACCTAAAATATGTACCCATATTGTGTAACTGTCACCACTATTTTCAGAATATTTGAATCTCAGAGAGAAATTCTGCATTCATTATAACCCCCATTATAACAGAAATTCTGCATCAATAACCCCCATTGCCTCCTTACCATTGCCTCTGATAACACCTCTGTTGTACTTTCTTCTGACTTTGTATTTGCCTCTTTTAGATACCTCTTACCATATAAAATTTATCCTTTTGTGCCTGGCATATTTTACGTAGCATAATGACTTCAGGGTTCATTTGTGTTATGTAGTAGAAGTTCATTCATTTTATGCCAGAATAATACTGTTGTATGTGTAGCCTACATTTTGTTTATTCATCAGTTAATGGACATTTGGGTCTTTTTGCACCTTTTAACTTTCGTGAATAATGCTGATGTGAACATTTGTGTCCCTGTTTTCAAATCTTTTAGATAAATCCTAGGAGTGGAATTGCTAGGTCACGTGGTCATTCTTTGTTGTACTTTTTGAGGGATCACCACACTGTTTTCCATAGTGGCTGTACCATTTTGCATTCCCACCATCAGAGCACAAGTCTTCCAATTTTTGTCACATCTTTGCCAGTACTTCCTCTTTTCTGTGTTTTTGATAATGGCCATTCTAGTGGATGTGAAGTAGTATCTTGTGGTTTTGGTTTGTGTTTCCCTAATGACTAACATCATAAGGGATTTTTTTTTTCCATGTGCTTTTGGCCATGTTTGTATCTTCTTGGACATTCAAAGTCCTTTGCACACTTTTAATTGGATCATTATTGCTGAGTTGTAAGAATTCTTTATATATTCTGAGTATTAAACTCTTGTCAGATACTTGCCAAATCAAAGATGATGAAGATTTTGCCCTGTATCTTCTTTTAAGTGTTTTAATAGTTTTAGCTCTTAAATTAAGGTCTGATTTATTTTGAGTTAATTTTTGTATGTGATTTAAGGTAAGTTCATCTTCTTTTTTTTTTTTTTTTCTTTTTTTACTTGTGGATATCTAGTTTTTCTAGCACCATTTGTTTTAAGTAATTGGGTGCCTTAGCAACCTTGTTAAAAATCAGTTGACCATATATGTGAGTTCACGTATTTCTGCTTCGTTCCATTTTCTATATGCCTATAGGTGTCAGTGCCACTCATTTTGTCTTGATTACTATAAATTTGTAATAAGTTTTGAAATCAAGAAGTTCAAGTCATCCAACTTTGTTGTTCTTTTTCAAGCTCTGGTGACTCACTTAAAGGTTTCCTAGAGCACTGCATTGTTCAGCATGAAAAACATAATGAAGGAAACTTTAAAATTCTTTCTAAGAGTTAAATATATTCAATTGTCTATAGTCAACAGGTGAGAAGAATGGAAAATTATGGTCTCCAGATGAAGAGGTTTCCCCTGAAGTACTAGCAAAGGTAAATTTGTGTAGGCCTTGATAATTTTTGTGTTAAAATAATGAACATTCCTAGATACTCTTTTTCTTTAACCTGGCAACTAATAGTATTTTTAAACGCGGTACTTTATTTTTAAATCCAAAGTTGTTTCTCTCAAAGAAATTGTAGTCCTCGTTGAGTTATTTACATATAGATCTATGTCAGGATCTTCCGTAGAACTTCCCACCTGCTAAAATAATTTCAGTGAGGCTGTTTCACAGAAATTGTTTGTAGGATGTTGATGCTCCAAAGCCTCTTAAGTGTAGCCTCACTACCACTGTCTATAAAAATATGAATATTAACTTGGCAAAAACAGATGCTGTCATCGAAGTCATAACTTTTGATAGATACAAAATGTACCTCAATAAAACTAATTTTTAAAGTGGTAGTATTGGATTTGAAGATAAGACTTAATTTGCTACCATCTTCCTTGATTAAAATGTTTCACCTTGTGTAGCTTCCTAGTCGTGTTCCATCAATTCTTTTTTCCAGGTTGTCAATAAATGTAGTAAGTAACACCTAGATCCTTTAGCTAGTTCTTTGACATGCACTGGTAGCAATCTTTTGAGTATAAACCTCCAGGTAATTATGACCACAAATAATTATGGAATCTCCTAATTTTTTTAATCAGGACAGACAGGATCAGACTTAATGATTTCTTCAAAATAGTTTTTGCAGTATTATAAAAAATATTAAGATCTATCTAAATAGCTCATTTTAATGACTATAACAGGTATAGTTTAAATAGTTATTTTTAAACAGTATATTTTCAAATAATTTGAAAATCTTAGGCAAGTGTGAAAAGCCTGGGTTCAGAAGCCAGACTTTGGGCATGTTATCTATAATTGTAATGTGTCTCCATTGCCTTATCTATTGGAAATAAAAACACCTCCTTTGTAGGCTTGTTTGGAACATCAAATAAGTTAATACATGTACAGCTCTGGGGAGAGTGCCTATTATAGATTAAACAGAATAAATATTTTTACTGTTATTGTTATTATCCTACAGACTTATTTAATAAAACATGTCCACCAGCAATTAAGCAACCTCACTAATCTAATTGACATAAATTAATCTTCCCTTTAATTGGAATTTTAAGTTCCTTTCTTTTTTTAGCATGTTAATATTTTATAGGTACAGGCAATTAAACTTCTGGTAAGGTGGCTGTTGGGTATGAAAAACAACCAGTCTAAATCTGCCAATTCAACTCTTCGATTATTATCAGCGATGTTGGTTAGTGAGGGTGACCTGACAGAGCAAAAGAGGATCAGGTGAGATCTTTCCTCCTTTCCAATTTTTACAGCTCAAAATGTTGGTGGAACTTACATAGGAATTATTTACCTAATTAATACTGAATGTTGTAATTACACCATATGGTTCGGGATCAGATCTAATGTACTTCCATGGGGTTTTCATCTCAATGATGATGGAATGTTTCTTCTCTAAAGACCAAACTTTTTCCAGTAAATGTTTAGTCATAATCATTATATGTTACAGTTGGCTTCAACATACGGTTCACTTAAGCAAATAACTGTTGAAATACTACTCTTTGCAAAACACCATGAAAAGCATTGCAGCAAAAACAGAGAAGATTCAGTTCCTGTCTTTTACCCTGTAATATAGTGAATGAACCAGGGGGGTGACTTAGTACCATGAAAGGAATACATGCTTTAGTGGAGGAGTTCAAAGGAGGAAAAAGTCACAGCCCTCCTGGTGGTTTGCAGAAGATTAAAACAAGGTTCTGCAACTGAAAAAAAATAATAAAGTTTCCATTTCTGCACATTTTCAGTGTTTTGTGAAATTTCCATTTCTTCTTCCTATTCATTTTAAGATGAAAATAAAAGCAAATTTTTCATGATCCTTGTTTGCTTCAAATTCTTGATTTGCTAGGGTCCAGTAGTACCAACAGATAAAACTATAGAATTCTACTCGTGATGTGTTCCTACTTTAAAATGTATTATTACAGGATTAAATGAATTAAATCTTTAATTCATTTATGCATTCATTTTTTATTGAGCACTGTCATCTTAGGCACTGCTATGGTTTTTTTTAAAGATATAAAATCTCTCCTTCCAAGGAATATGCATTCCAGTGGAGATTAGGAAATGAGCAAATTACAGTAGAGATGCTGACTGCTTTGGTAAACTGAAGGAAACCATGGAAAACTATCTTTGTCATAGAATAAGTCAAGGGTAGTTTTGTAGGAACAGATTAGAAGATTAGAGCTGAGTTAGGGATAATAAAAAGTTTTAAATTGGGGGAAACTATGGCAAAGGCTTAATAATGAGCTTTTAATAAGACAAATAAATAGGCAGGATCCCCAATAGAGATGAAGACTACGAATTACCAGTTTATCTTTTTAACAATGTTTAACATCACTAAATACAGTAAATACAGTTTAAACTTAGCAATACTTGCCTATCAAATTAGCAAAAATATTTTTTAAAGTAATCACTGCTTTTTGGGTTCAGGAAAATGGGTCCCCTCATTAGTCCTGTGAATATAAATTGGCACAGTCTTGGCAGGACAGTTTGGCACTTTTGTCTAGATCCTCATAAATGTTACCCTTTTGACTCTTTATTTTTACACTCATGAAATAATTTTAAAAAATTATACAATAACATATATATAAGCATGTTCTTTCCAGCATTTTTTATCATCACAGAAAATAAGGGCATAGTTAATTGTGGAACACACATGTCATGAAATATTAGGCAAATCTTAATTAGGTATTATATATAGCATGGTTTAGCTTGAGCTCTAGAATCAGAAACTTCTGCAACTCTACACTCTGTTTACTAAGTGTGTGAATTCTATAAATCACTTTTCAAAGCATCAATTTCTTCATCTTACAGAGTGAAAATGAAATGAGATAAAGCCTGTGAAGTGTTCATACACTGCCTAGCACAGACTTAAGCACCCAGATGGTAGCTGTTTTTTTTTTAATTCCTCAGTCATTTGTCTGAGAAGCCATTTGAAGTTCCCTCAAGAATACCAGTGTTCACTTTGATAGTCCTCTTGTTCTGGAGTGCCACGTTTTCTCCTCTTGTATGGTAGTGATGGACTCAGCTAGCTTTCCACATTTCCCCAAGTCTTTAAAATGTCATAACCATGCTATGTTTAACATAAGTTGAAATAAGACTGTTCTTTCATCCGTTTATTGTCATATTTTACCATTTAGGTAATAAAAAACTACTGGGCAGGAGTGGAAGTGCTGGACCTCCTGGGGGGGGGCTTTGACTTACAAAAGGAAGTCTGCCCCAGAGATTAGTAGCCCAGATAGACACTGGCTCTCATTTCCGTATCCTTTCCTTTTAGATATTTGTCTGATACCTCCCCTTCTGTGGTGTAAATCAGCTCCTCATTGCTAGCCCCTCCATTTCATCAGATGTTACACGTGTGTATATATGGATGTGCGTTTAAAAACTGTAGGAAATAGATTTAATATGATAGGTGATTTAATCGAGTATTTTACAACGAATGTGTCTTCCTCCTGAAATGAGGAATAGTGTTCCTGATAGAAATTGTTCTTGGCATTGCAGTGATCATAGATGTGATCACAAGCAGAGCTGCTTGTTTATGGTAGAGGATCTATGCTAGAACATAACTGAAAATGAAGGCAGATAAGTTTATCGTTAGTCACAATGATTTGAGCCTTTTTCCCTGTGTTGAGTTCAAGGACTCAAGGTAATTTTCCCAGATTTGTACATTATATGTCATTTTAAGCATAAAGTTGAAGACCTTAACACTCAAAAAGGGATCAAAGCATTGTTATCAATGATAATGGTTATAGGAAATGTTTATTTCTTTTTTGTTTGTTTATAGTAAATCTGATATGTCTCGCTTGCGATTAGCTGCTGGTAGTGCCATAATGAAGCTTGCTCAGGAACCTTGTTACCATGAAATTATAACCCCAGAACAGTTTCAGCTCTGTGCACTTGTTATTAATGTAAGTAATCCTCTTATTTTTGTCAAGTCCTTGGCCTTCAAAGTTAAATACATTTACTTTCTGTGGATACAGATCCATTTACTGTGTGCACAGAAGGACCTGCTGTTATAACTATTCTAACTAAACATCTTCTAAGTATTGTACGCATTCCCCAATCGTTTTTTTAAAATGAGGATTTTTGGAACAAACTGCTCTTTAGTAGATGTTTTCCAGTTTTTTTTCTGAACTAGGTTATTTTGTCATGGTTTTTAAAGCACTGACATTTTTACTGACGTGTTTTTGGTTCTATGCCGCTGCAGGACGAGTGCTACCAAGTGAGGCAGATATTCGCACAGAAGTTGCATAAGGCTCTCGTGAAGCTGCTGCTCCCGTTGGAGTATATGGCGATCTTTGCCTTGTGTGCCAAAGATCCTGTGAAGGAGAGAAGAGCGCATGCACGACAGTGTTTGCTAAAAAATATCAGCATACGCAGGGAGTACATTAAACAGAATCCCATGGCTACTGGTAAGTAATTTTGAAAGCTCCAAGTGTGCAAGTGTATCTTGTGGGTGTATCGATTTGTAGGGGGCGTTTATTTCCTATCTCTCCATTGTAGTATATTTATAAGAACACTACAGCCGCTGCTATAGTTGTGATATACTTAATATCTAAAATCCTGGTTTCTGAGTGTTATTTAAGAGATATAAAACTGTTTGGAGGAATTGTATTTTTCTTACGGGATCAGCAGTGTGGCTTGATTTAAACACATTGCTCAGATGTCAGAGAGAAGAGAATTATTTTCTCAGCTTTACGAAGGACTCACTGTATAATCTTAAATTATCCTTTTGGCTTTAATAACTTTCAACACTGAAATGCATTTCAGTATCATCTAGATAGCAAGTTAGTTGCCTATAATTTAAAAATAACTGAGGAAAAGATGGAAACTGGAGTGGTTTGAATGCAAAATTAGAGGGGCATTTTGTAAAAGCTGTTATGACTATTGTTAATAATAATGTTTTCACTTCAGAGAAATTATTATCACTGTTGCCTGAATATGTAGTTCCATATATGATTCACCTGCTAGCCCATGATCCAGATTTTACAAGATCACAAGATGTTGATCAACTTCGTGACATTAAAGAGTAAGTCATGTTGATTTTCAAGAATTTTAGAAACTTTTACTTATTGAAAAATGATAAATTTTTTCCTGTTACTATTCCCATTAAAATAAAAACTTCTTTGTGGTTTTGTTTATTATAAATTTCATCCTAGAAAATTTTCCCCGTCTGTCAGGTTCCTTTTGATTCTTTTGTTTCCTGTTTGCAATTAACTGAGACTTTGAAACAGGTTAGTTTGGTTATTTTAGTTTTTATATTATTTTCACTATTTGTATTAAGATAGGTTTCAGTTATATCAGCTCGATAATTTTGAAAGCCATGTAGTAAAAATTTCTCTCCTTGAAACTAAACTTTACTTTCATACTCAAAAGATGCCTTAAAAATAAGCATGTCCACATGAGAAATTCTGTGGCAGGATTGTGGTAGTACAAGATTAGTCTTGTTAACACCAGTCACAGAGATTTGTATCTAGTGGAAACACAGGCAAGTAAACAGTTAAAAAAACACTTGTTGAATAAGTGGTACTTGTGTAAAACAGAACTTTATATATGATACAAGGTGAAAGAGAGAGAGGCAACCTAAGTTTGTCTACAGATGACCGCCAATAAACTTTTTTTTTTAATGGGGAAACAAGAATTGATTTGTTTTGCTTTTAAATTCCATACCACAACATTTTACTGAAAATGAAGTGATTTTTAATCTACAGATAAACGACTTTTTAAATGATACTCAGGTTGTTTTTTACAAGTTTGGTTTTAAAATAGATTTGAATTCACAGTAGATCTTACACACAATGATTTCAATAAATCAGGCCCTCCAGAGCACAATGTGGAGGTGTAACAATTATGTGATGACTTCTTAATAGTGCAAGGGTACAAAGACCTTTGAAAGAAATTAATCTTTCTACAGTATTAATCCCTAAAAACAGTTTTCCTTTATAGATGACAGCAATATTACCAGTTTCATTTACTTTTACTTTATAAAAGAACTCCCAGAGGAAGAAATTTCTGGAGGTTTTCCCTGACATATACAGCTATATTTTCTGTTATGCTTACAACATCTGCACAGTATGGCACATCCAGATCCAGATTCTTATGATCAAAGGCCTTCATAACTGCCTCTGCCATGTACTCTCTGAGGTCAGTCAGATTCATAACCATTCCTGCAACAGGATAAGTCTTCATAACTGTGCACATAGTCATTTGGGTTGTTGAATTTCCCAGACAGTTTCAGATTTTCATTACTCGGAGGTTTGCTGTAGAGCTGATGGGTTGTGCTGAGGGAGACAAGGTGGGACAGTTAGGCCCAGTGGCCAATGATGACCACATTGATTGCCTTGCCTCCGACCTCCAGGAAACTTTAAAGCAGTATTTACTTTCTCTCCTCTTATCATGATTTTGCTTTGCACTCTTAAACTGGTATCCTCAACTTGTATATGAAAGTATTATAGGGGCGCCTGGGTGGTTAAGTTGGTTGAGTGTCTGCCTTCAGCTTAGGTCATGATCCCGGGGTCCTAGGATCAAGACCCACAACAGACTCCCTGCTCAGTGGGGAGCCTGCTTCTCCCTCTCACTTTCCCTCTGAACTCTCTCTCTTCCTCTCTCTCAAATAAATAAAATCTTTTAAAAATAAATAAATAAATAATTGTATTACGATTTTTGTATGTGTGGCATTAAACCTTAATCCTGATCTCATTTAAGTTTGTAATCAACATTTATCTCTACCTCCTACAGCTTTCGTCACTGAAAATGTGTTAATATCTTAATTTGAAGAGGTGTTATATCTTGTCCAACGTTACTGTTAAGCATTGGGCTATGAGCTCCTTACATTTTGAGGGCTTGTCATTTCATTGTTGCTGCTTCCAATACATCATCCCAGTAATATAGTCTTGCTATTTCAAATGCTTGAAAATAAGTCTACATTTAAAAAAAAAATTTTAGGGCTTTTAGTTGATCTGTATTTTAAGAAGCCACATAATTAGGTTCTAGTCCCAGCTGTATGACTAAAAACTTTACTTCTCTGGCTCTCAGTTACCTTACCCATAACATGCAGGAGATAAAATAATTCCCAAAATGTCTTCCAATTCTTATTTTTGTTTGTCTTGTAAATGTTTACATTTGTATTTACAGGTTTTTTTCTTTAAAAACTTTTAGTTTGGCATTTCTCAGAAAGCACTTCCATAAAACGAAAACATGATGTATGTGTTTGCCTAGGACATAAGGTCTAGAGGTCTAGAGGATGTTTTAGTATATTTCATTGCAAAGCAGTCATGTGGAAGAAGGATTAGACTTATGAGAGAGAACTGATGTGGGAAAGAGTACTGACATACTAGAAGTAACTGGAGTTAGAAATGAACTCACTGGCACATGTTTTCTGTCTAGCACGCAACATTTTTTAGGATCTTTAAACAATCAAGTTAGCATGTAGTTTGAAGTGTAAAATTGTATGTTTTTCAAAGTGTGGTTTTTAACTTTGTGGAAATTATTAACTTATTGTGTCACTGTTTGGCTATTGTCTTTTATGGTTTCATATAAATTTCAGAATTATTTCTTCTAATTCTGTGAAAAATGCCATTGGTAAGGATTGCATTGAATCTGTAGGTTGCTTTGAAATAGTATGGACATTTTAACAATATTCTTCCAGTCCATGAACATGGAATATCTTTCCATTTATTTCTAGGTTTTGTAGTATCTTTCATTAATGTCTTAAGCTTTTGATCTATAGATCTTTCACCTCCTTGGCTAAGTACATTCCTAGGTGTCATTCTTTTTGATACACTTATAAATGGGAATGTTTTCTTAATTTCTCTTTCCGATAATTATTAATGTAAAAATACAAGATTTTTGTGTATTGATTTTGTATTCTGCAACTTTATTGGATTTGTTTATTCTAACGGTTTTTCGATGGAGTCTTTGGGATTTTTTGTGTAGAATACCATCTCATCTGCAACTAGTGACAGTTTTACTTCTTCCTTTTCAGTTTAGATGCCTGTATTTCTTTTTCTTGCCTAATTGTTCTGGCTAGGACTTCCAGTACTTTGTTGAATAAAAGTGGTGAAGAGTGGATATCCTTGTCTTATTCTTGATCTTAGAGGAAAAGCTTTCAGCTTTCACCATTGAGTATGATGTTATACATGGTCCTTGTTATGTTGAAGTATGTTCCCTCTGTACCCACTTTGTTCAGAGTTTTTCATCATTAATGGTTGTTGAATTTTATCATTCACTTTTTCTATATCTGTTGAGATGAACATAGCAATTTTTATCCTTTATTTTGTTAATGTGGTATACAGCTGAACCGTGCTCCCATCCATGGAGTAAAGCCCACTCAGTCATGGTGTATGATCCTTTCATTATTGTTGAACTCAGTTCCCTAATATTTTGTTGTATATTTTTGTTTCTAACTTCATTAGAGATATTGGCCTGTAGTTTTTCTTTTTTGTGGCCTCCTTGCCTTGTTTTGGTATCAGGGTACTGCTAGCCTTGTAAAATGATTTTGGAAGCATCCCCTCCTCTTCTCTTTTCTAGATGAATTTGAGAAGAATTGGTGGTAATTCTTCTTGAATGTTGGTAGAATTCACCAGGGAAGCCATATGGTCCTAGACTTTTGTTTGTTGGGTGGTTTTCAATTACTAATTCAATCTCCTTCTAGTAATTGGTCTTTCAGATTTTCTGTTCCCTGTGATCCAGTCTTGGTAAGTTGTATATTTCTAGGAGTTTATCCATTTCTTGGGAATGTTCAGTTTGTTAGCATGTATTTTTCATAGCATTCTGTTATGGTCCTTTGGACTTCTGTGGTATTAGTTGTAACCTTTTGTCTTTGATTTCTGATTTTTGAGTCCTCTTTTTTCCTTCGTCTGTCTAGCTAAAGATTTGTCAATTTTCTCTTCTCAAACAGCTCTTAGTCTCATCCATTTTTTTTTCCTATTGTCATTTTAGTCTATTTCACTTATTTCTGCTCTGAATTTTGTTATTTCCTTACTTCTTCTATCAGCTTTGGGCTCTATTTGTTCTTCTTTTCTCCTAGCTCCTTCAGGTGTAAAATTAGTTTCTTTCTGGAGATAGGTGTTTATCACTATGAATTTCACTCTTAGAGCTTCCCTGGTTGGATGCCTTTGTTGCATCCCATAAATCTTGGTATGTTAATTTCCATTGTTGTTTGTCTCAGGTATACCCTTTATTTCTCTCTTGATTTTTCCTTTGACCCAGTGATTGTTCAGTAGCATGTTGTTGAATCTATACATATTTGTGAATTTTTCAGTGTTCTTTGTGTAATTAATTTCTGATTTCATACCATTCTAGTCAGAAAAGATGGTTGATATTATTTCAGTCTCAAATTCATTAAGACTTGTTTTGTGGCCTAACATATGATCTATTTTGGAAAATGTTCCATGTGCACTTAAGAAAAATGTGTATTTGTTGCTTTGGTATGGAATGTTCTGTAAATATCTGTTAAGCATCTGGTCTAAAATGTCATTTAAGACCATGTTTTTTCTTCTTGGTTTTTCTGTCTGGTGATTTGTTCATTTGACTAATTGGGGTATTAGAGTTCCCATATATCAAAAATTATAAATACAGTTATTGTATTTCTCCTTTTAGGTCTGTTAATATTTGCTTTATATGTTTAGGTGCTCCTAAATTACGTTGGGTACATGAATATTTACAAAGGTTATATCTACTTCTTTGTTGACCCCTTTCTCATTATGTGTCACTCTTTTTGTGTATTATTACAGTCGTTTTAAAGTGTATTGTGTCTGATACAAGTGTAGATACTAAAGCTTTATTTTGGTTTCCATTTGCATGTAGTATCTTTTTCCATCTCTTCACTTTCACTGGGTGTGTCTCTTGTAGGCAGCATATAGATGAGTCTTGTTTTTTTAATCCATCCAGCCATTCTGTGTCTTTTGGTTAGAGAATTTTTTTTTTTTTTTTTAATTTGACAGACAGAGATCACAAGTAGGCAGAGAGGCAGGCAGAGAGAGAGGAGGAAGCAGGCTCCCTGCTGAGCAGAGAGCCCGATGCGGGGCT